CCCAAGTAAAACTATAAAATGATGCTCTGCCTTTGCTGGGACCATCTGCAGCACCACGTGAAAACGAGCAGGTCTGCCAGCCACCTGCTGCACGTTTAAAACACCTTCCGTGGATAAAGAGCGAGTGCAGCTGCAGCCCACGGTAACAAAGCAGGTTACACAACAACAGCAGTGATCTTATCTATACATGTTTGTGAGCAGCTTAGGCTGTATGATTGGGTCTGACATTCCCCCTTTAACAACTGCCCTGTTGTCAGCCAGAGAGCTGCCATGACCTTTCCTACAAACTTTTAAACTCATCCGCATTACGCAACGGGGACGTGCACAGGCATCACAACCCAGAGTAGGACGCTTCACCGAGCATCGTGTCTGCAGCAGCGCGTTTTATCAAACATTCACCATCAGTCCACAGAGAGAGAGAGAGAGAGAGAGAGAGAGAGAGAGAGAGAGAGAGAGAGAGAGAGAGAGAGAGAGAGAGAGAGAGAGAGAGAGAGAGAGAGAGAGACAGAGAGAGAGAGAGAGAGAGAGAGAGAGAGTGTGTGTGTGTGTGTGTGTTTGTGTGTGTGTGTGTGTGTGTGTGTGTGTGTCTTCCTGTTCTTGTGTTGCCATGGCTGACTGAGTCTGGCTGTCAGCCCGGTTCTAGGAGCTACTGAGCTCTGAGCTCCAGTACAGAGTGCTCTGCTGTCGGTGCTGGTTCTCACATGTGGATCCATGTGAGGCTTTCAGGAGAACACAGCAGCAGCGGGAAGGAGACTTGCTCTTATGTCAGCCCCCCCCCCCCCCCCCCCCCCCACACACACACACCAAAACACAGAGATGTGAAAACACATGCATTAGACTCAGATAGCGCCTCCTAACTCTATCAGACGATGTTTTAATGGTTTGTATCTGTAGGAAGCATTGAGCTGGATCTGTGTGTGTGTGTGTGTGTGTGTGTGTGTGTGTGTGTGTGTGTGTGTGTGTGTGTGTGTGTGTGTGTGTGTGTGTGTGTGTGTGATGGCCAAATTATAAAGCCAAAACAGCAATGTTCTGTCAACAAGCAGCAGCCCTTTTAATTCCCATCTTGCTGGGAGGAGTCGTGAAGCTCCAGCGCCCCCTCCCGGTGTCAATGAGGAAGTGCACGTACCCTAGACAGCTGTGCTGTTTTACAAACAGCTGAAAACACACTTGACCCTTCATCCAGGACAACGTTTTATTCTGGTAAATTCAGTTTTAATTAAAAACGAAAAATTACAAACTTTATGACTTTTAAGCTCTATTTTGACGTTTTGAACCAATATTTTCCCCAAAAAACATGAGACAATTTTTCTTTTAAATTCAAGTCTAAAAGTGTTTTATGTTCCTCTTTGGCTTGCTCTAACGTCTAACACACTCAGGTGCTAACGTCACTTCATCACTTAGTAAACAATCCTGCTTAATGCTACTTTATCTGATCAGGGTGGGAAAAATAAACATGTTTACATTGTTTTTTATTATTATGAATAAGCCTTTAATTTGTGTATTACCGCCATTTTTAGAGCATGTCAGTCTTGTGCTTTTTCCCTTTTTACTGGACAGAATCATCAGTTGATGCGAAATATAAAAAGTCACTTCCGGAAGTCTTGAATCACAAGGTGTGGAAGGACTTTGTCCACTAGAAATGGTTCAGTCTTGTGAGAGATGCTCCAAAACCACAAATAGAGCAGCTGACCTCATCCTCCTCCTCTCCTCAGGTAAGAGTTTTGTCTTTTATTTTTGTACAATTTGTCTGAATTATCAAAGCAATCCTAATGCAACTATAATGCACCTGTAACCTCCAGCGCTGTGAATTTTACAGCAAACCTGTATGGAATTGAAACATACAACATATACTTTTTGGTCAGGATTAAGATGCACTTTTTCTTTTATTAAATTAAACTGAACGCCCTGAACCAACATCCGTTTAATTCACAGATGTGCAGAAACACGCAGTCATAAATACGAGCAGTTTTAGTTTGGAACTGCTGGAGGTTATAAACATTAACAAAGTCATATGACTGTCAGTGTCACAGCCTGTTATAGAGTAAGTCAAAGTTTAAACTCGGCTTCATCGCCAAATCTTTAGTCCGTTCAGATTTGATTTGTCTATTAAATAAAAGGACATGGTCTCTTTGATTTGCACTGAAGTTTGATCAGCAGAAAATGTTTGCAGTCACAGGATATGTATGAGCACTAATCTTCTTTTCTCGACTCAATGAAGATAATCTGTGAAGAAAAAGCTGTAATGGAGGTCTTTAGTCTGCGGAGGACCCAGTCTCTGAGGAGTCTTTCTGGGGCTCGGGAGAGTTCATGGGTCACGTCAGCCCACGCATCCTGGAGCAGGAAGTCTGTCTCTCAGCTGGTGCAGCAGTAAGTTCTGAAAGACGAACACACAGCAGATTTATTCAGCTGTCAGGTTGATCTCAGCTGTAAATGTGTCGATAATGATGCTTTCACAGTTACCAGAGCTGTGGTGACCTGGGGACTTCTGAACAAAATGAGCCAAAACTCCAGGTAACCTGCTGCCGTTTGTTTATTATAATAAATAAATATACAGCTAAAAACAAATTCCTGTTGCCAGGTGTCTGACAGCCGTGTGGACGGTTGCTGGAGGATGCAGGAGGGCAGGGAGACCCTCTGGAAATCTGCATGGAGCTCTAATCTGTCCAGGAGCCGCTCCATGGATGTCCTCCCCCAGAGAGAAACCTCCAGCACCAGAGCGCTGTGTGCCCTGTTTGAGTCCAAGTCCACCCTGCAGCAGGACTACAACAGCGGCCCTCGGCTGGACTCGCAGTCTAAAACAGGGAGAGGCTGTCCTCTGCAGGACTGGAGAAGTTACAACACTCCTCTGAAGGAGACATCACATCAGGTATCAGATAAAAATATATGGTACTGATCAAAACAAATAAGTGAACTCAGAAAGACTTTCCTTCACATAAGTATTTTAAATATTTGTTTAAAGACTGTTCTGTTGAGAACTTGTGGTTGTTAATATTATAACTGAAGTGCAACCGCAGTCAGTGTGAATAATCTAAAGGTATGACGTGATCTGCATGCACAGAAGAAGACGCCCACGCTGCATGCGGTTTGCTGCAGTAATCACTTGAGAAAGGGTTGCTACGTAAATGCTGAAGCTTTCTCTGGAAAGCTATGAAACATGGGTCCTGTTTAGTCAGAACATTTGCATTTAGGTCACTTGTGACGACATGAGGATCAAAATCTCAAAACGCATGAATTTGCGAAGTAAAGAGGTTCATTCTTTCAGGACAGCCTCTGCAAAAGCCTGATCACCTTAAAGCTGCATTGTGTAGCATTTGCATTAAAAAAGCATATATCCAGTTTCGTCTCCTGACCGTACGATTGAATTGTGTACGTTTCGCCACGATTGCCTGTAGAGGTGGCCATTTTGTTTATTTTGAAGGGTTTCTAGGACCACCTTGTGAGAGCATGTGCCGTGACATCCACAAGATGGCCATGTTCTAGTGATGGGAATTCCAGCTCTTTTTAGAGAGCCGGTTCTTTTGGCTCAGCTCACCAAAAAGAGCCGGCTCTTTCGGCTCCCAAGTGGCTCCTCAGATTTTCTGTTGCGTAGAGTACATTTATAACCAAAATAATGCTAAACTATATATAAAATAATTTACTAATGTCAAAAAAAAGCAATATATCAAATATTTATCATTTCTATGGATTTAATAACTGAACACTTTAAGAAATCTCCACTTTCCGACTGCTGGCGCTCAATTTCTCACCGTCTTCATCGCACTCTCTCTCGCTCGCCTTTTTCCTCCTCCTCATTCCCTCTCGTCTCCCTCCTCCCACATGTGCTCTGCTGTGTCTGAGTCTGATCCTCCCTCTTCCCCGCCCCTACTGCTCTGTGTGTGTGGACAGTCTGGACATGCAGTTACACATGTTGACCAATCGCCTGTAGCTTTCACCAAGGCAAGGGGGGAGGGGGGAGGGGAGGGAACGGCTCCCAATGACGAGCCGGCTCCCGTCGTTCACTTCAAAGAGCCGGCTCTTAGAGCCGGTTCATTTGCTACGACACATCACTACCATGTTCCCCAGTTAGCCGCTAGAAAAGCTCAGCTAAGCTAGCAGAACCGTACATTTGAAGATGAATCCTGCCAGCAGTTCCTGCCAGGTTCTCTCTGCTTCTCAGGCTGCTCCTCTCGGTTCTGACCGAGACTGAGCACCTAGGAACGGACCTCCAGACTCTCTGAATTTGTGAGGCAGCATATCCTCCTGGTTCTGCCTAAAGTTGTGAGACACAGACGGCCTGCACTGCTGCACTTCATGTCTGGTACTAAAACTCAAGGACTTTGAAAATGTTTGAGAAACAGCCGGGAGTGGGAATCCCCGCCAAAATTCCCCGGTTTTCCAATGCTCTCCCTGCAAACCTGCCAATTATCATCGGCCACTCTTTCCAACACTCCCCCGATACAGCTTTTTCTGTTAGTTCAAGGCGGTAGTAAATAATAACAAATAAATAGTTTACTAATTTCAAAGACCGTTTGAACATCACTGGAGTGCACATTTTGCTGACTGCAATTTCTCTGACGGCCACACGGTGCGCTCTCTGTGGCATCAAACTATGCAGAGCAGCATTAAAGTTTTAGACCTCATTACATCTAAGAGAAACAGGCTGACTGATGAGTGAGAAGATCAGGTAAATGTAACGGGGCATGGTCATTTCTAAATTAAAATCCACCTTAAAACATGCAGAGAGTAAAAAAAATTAGCAAATGACTTCAGAGAGCCCCTTTATTTTCATAATGCTTTTATTTGTGTTTGTTTTTACGATGCACATATTTTATTTCCGTGTGTATTTATTTCTGAAGCAACCAGAGATGCAGGCTGTAAAAATAAAGTTGGGTTAAGTCGAGTTAATTCTCCTAACAAGAATCTCACCACTCCACAGAGAACAACCCAGGTGGACGGTCAAAAGGTCACGAATGGCCTTCTGGAGAGCCACAGCAGAGCCTCCAGGCACCCAACTGGTGAGCATGTTTGCACTCACTGAGATGGCAGAGGGCAGATGGACCGGTGTCCGAGCGTCCTCAGAGACGTAATTTATGGACGTGTCTGTGTCACACTGCACAGCTGTTTACATGTCTGTTCTGGATAGATCCTTGAAAATATGAAGGTAGCCACTTTCTTGTGTGTGTGTTTGTATCAAGCGTATTTACATTTGGGTTCCGGCAGACACATCGGGATCAAGGTTGATGATATTTACAGTGTCGTCATGCGAATCCTGAAAGTGTTTGACGAGCAGCAACTGAAACGTTGCTTCGTGGAGGAAAGTCAAACGCTAAATAAAGACAAGGATGCAGCTGGGTAAAGGCATAGCTATGTGCTCACACACATGCTGAAGATAGGAGTGAGGCTGCTGCTGCACCGTTCCACCGTGACGCGGTCCTTAGTCACATGAGCCCTGGAACTGATGTTGTTTAGATGCACTGACGTGTTTACTCTGTGGTGTGAGTAAGAGAGAGATGAGCTGCCATCAGTACTCATGAGTAAGAAGATTTAATAGATTTCTTTGGTCATGCTGAGTTTTTTATTTTTTGTGAAAAATGGAATAATTACAGTATTATATCCAACAAGACTGACCACCCTGTCGTTCACATAGAATCATGTCATGGAGGAGCTCATTTAACCATAGCAGTACTTTCAGATGCAAAACTATTTCTCTGAACAGAGGCTGTTCGAGAAGCTGCCTCGGGTTTGAGGGTAAGAAACACACAACTCTCCCAGTCCACTGATCTTTTTCAGACTCTACTGGTTCGTCAAAATAAAACCTTCCATGAGTTCCTGTGTGTTATTTTAACACCCCTCAAAAAAAAAAAAAACCACCCACTGACACACATGCTAATGGTCCCACCCACTGGGCTCATAATAGTAGGTGACAATGGAGCTGTGGGAAAGGGAGGTGGTGGGGTGTCCCAGTCATTCGCTGACCAGCAGCCATGATTGACTGACGCCGGTAGCAGCAGCCAGCCCCCCAATCCCAAAAATAGCTGAAGTCTGACCAGTGGAAGAGCGGCAGCAGATAAAAGTCAGCTGTCACCAAGACCCCAGAACGAGGAAGAGTCCAGTCAGAGCTGGAGCTGAGGGAAGAGACGGGCTGAGACACACATCACAGGGGCCACCACGGCAGGCACGCAGCAGGTGAACAGAGCTGGGTGACTTCTTAGTGAGTATTCATGCATGAAGCTGTGGCTAACATTATAATATAATACTATATTGTTTTAGGTGGCAGCAGATGTGTCCAACTTTAAATAAGACGGTGTTTAATAACTGTGTTCACAGTAATTACACGTTTGAATTACAAATTTAGGCTGTTTATGAACAGGACCGTGGAAGTCACAAACTATTATTCATAAATATTTAGTCTGTGAGAGCTTCAACGGTGACGTTTCCATGAAGCCTTCCGGGGAAATCTCTGGGTGTAGCGTGGTGGTGGGTTGTGACCATCCTTTGGTGTTCGGGTCTTCCTTGCAGTCTGTGAATGTGGCCGCTATCGACAACAGCTGATAGCGGGGAAGGTGGTGAGGAACAAATACCAGCTGCACAGCTGCAACAGTTAAAAATGTGTCTGCCCATTACTGCTCCGCTAATAGCTCCTCTTCATTCCTGGAGTTAACCCAGACGTGCCACCGTGAATGCGTGGGAATCACGCAGATGAAGACCAAACTGATTTTACAATAAGTGGCTTTTATCAGAAAGTCTCCTGCTGCTGGTGGGCGAGGACTGGATCGGAACAGGCCCGGCCCCCGGTGGCTTCATTCTCTCTGGTCACCCAGCGATGAAAAGGCTTTAAGTCCAGACTCGTGAGAGGCAACGGCTCACCGCTCCATCCTTTTGTCCCGAGAGGGCTTAGTGTTTGAAAGGGGAGGCGGGTTTCAACCTGGATATTAGTCACAGACGGGTGGCCCGTGCGCCTCACCCAGCTGTTGATCGCCAAACTTCCTGTATCATTCACCGTTTGAACCATGGATGTAATTTTCACTTTTGGGGGGGGGGGGGGGGGGGATCTTTACAGTAGGTTCTAATGGGAGATAGGCTTCAACACAAATGGTTGTTTTCTGCTTGGTCCTAGAGCTCAACCAGTGTCAATTTAATATAGTGTAATATTGTTTTTGGATGGCAAAAAGTGCAGGGGTCAAAACTTGACTTTGGAAAAAGTGTGTGTGTGTGTGGGAGGGGGGAGGGGGCATGTCCCCCCGTGCCCCCCCCCCCCAAATTACGTCCATGGTTTGAACAAATTTGTGTCGAACTCTGCGTGGATATTATCGTAGCACTGACCACGTCTAGTCAGAGCTTCACACTGTGAGCAGAAACGGGTTCAGGTGAAAGAGCTTAGCTCCGATTGTTCACAAGGTCAGGCAGATGTATTTGAAGGGTCAGGTGTTGATAGTTTGATGGCAGGGAGCTCACACACACAATGTGCCGCTGCAGCTGAGCTAGCAGTTGCTGACTTTTCTCCCTCTCCTGGGCGTCGCGGTCGGTCTGAGGCATGCGGCCCTGTCTGTTTCTGATGACTGTGCGGGACGATAACAGCCACAGGAATCAAATACCTACATGTTGGCTCATTTACATTTTCAATGCCTTGATGCAAAAATAAAAGGTTCAGAGAGTTAGCTAGAGCTACAAGATAAGCTAGAGCCCCTCATCACTATACAGGTGCTGGCCAGTAAATTAGAATATCATCAAAAGGTTGAAAATATTTCAGTAATTCCATTCAAAACGTGAAACTTGTACATTATATTCATGCAATGCACACAGACCAATGTATTTCCGATGTTTATTACGTTTAATTTTGATATTTATAGGTGACAACCAATGAAAACATCAAATCTGGTATCTCAGAAAATTAGAATATTCTAAAGGCCAATGAAAAAATGTTTGTTTCTCTAATGTTGGCCAACTGAAAAGAATGAACATGAAAAGAATGTGCATGTTTAGCACTCAATACTTAGTCGGGGCTCCTTTTGCCTCAATAACTGCAGTAATGCGGCGTGGCATGGACTCGATCAGTCTGTGGCACTGCTCAGGTGTTATGAGAGCCCAGGTTGCTCTGATAGTCGTCTTCAGCTCCTCTGCATTGTTGGGTCTAGCGTATTGCATCCTCCGCTTCACAATACCCCATAGATTTTCTATGGGGTTAAGGTCAGGCGAGTTTGCTGGCCAATCAAGGACAGGGATACCATGGTCCTTGAACCAGGTGCTGGTGGTTTTGGCACTGTGTGCAGGTGCCAAGTCCTGTTGAAAGGTGAAGTCTGCATCCCCATAAAGTTGGTCAGCAGCAGGAAGCATGAAGTGCTCTAAAACTTCCTGGTAGACGGCTGCATTGACCCTGGACCTCAGGAAACAGAGTGGGCCAACACCGGCAGATGACATGGCACCCCACACCATCACTGACGGTGGAAACTTTACACTGGACCTCATGCAACGTGGATTCTGTGCTTCTCCGCTCTTCCTCCAGACTCTGGGTCCTTGATTTCCAAAGGAAATGCAGAACTTGCTTTCATCAGAAAACATAACTTTGGACCACTCAGCATCAGTCCAGTCCTTTTTGTCCTTGGCCCAGGCGAGACGCTTCTTGCGCTGTTTCTTGTTCAAGAGTGGCTTGACACACGGAATGCGACACCTGAATCCCATGTCTTTCATGAGTCTCCTCGTGGTGGTTCTTGAAGCGCTGACTCCAGCTGCAGTCCACTCTTTGTGGATCTCCCCCACATTTTTGAATGGGTTTGTCGTCACAATTCTCTGCAGGGTGCGGTTATCCCTAGAGCTTGTACACTTTTTTCTACCACATTTTTTCCGTCCCTTCGCCTGTCTGTTAATGTGCTTGGACACAGAGCTCTGCGAACAGCCAGCTTCTTTAGCAATCACCTTTTGTGTCTTGCCCTCCTTGTGCAAGGTGTCAATGATTGTCTTTTGGACAGCTGTTATGTCAGAAGTCTTCCCCATGATTGTGGTGCCTTCAAAACAAGACTGAGGGACCTTTTAAAGGCCTTTGCAGGTGTTTTGAGTAAATCAGCTGATTAGAGTGGCAGCAGGTGTCTTCTATATTCAGCCTTTTCAGAATATTCTAATTTTTTGAGATACCAGATTTGATGTTTTCATTGGTTGTCACCTATAAATATCAAAATTAAACGTAATAAACATCGGAAATACATTGGTCTGTGTGCATTGCATGAATATAATGTACAAGTTTCACGTTTTGAATGGAATTACTGAAATATTTTCAACCTTTTGATGATATTCTAATTTACTGGCCAGCACCTGTAAATAGGCACACTTAGAACATAACTAAAAGTGGGAGCTGCTATCTTCAAACATGTTAATAAGCACCAGGCCTAAAACAATGGGCTGATTAAAAGTCACGCCCTGCTTATAAAAGGGCTCTTTCATTGTTCTTCTCATTGCAGATGATAAATACAATAACCCGCTGAGCAAAGGAGGCACTGAGTCGAGACAACCCAGAGACAGGACATCTTCTTCCTCCTCAGTGAGGGACAGATTAGCTCTCTATCTGACCAAAGCAGCAGCCAGTGACTTGACAGGAGGCTTCGTGCAGCCAGTGAGTTCCTGAAATGCCTCCAATTCCTGCACACACAGCGAGGTCAAGGGCTTACCGCGGGGCCCTGCCTCCACACCCAGCAACGCTGATTTAAAATACAATCCCCTGTTCGCAATAAACATGTGTACTTTAACCAAACTATCACCTTTTTTGTTGTTTCACAGGAATTCGTAGCTACTCCGGGATCAAAAGTTAAACACAACAAGGTACTGTACAGCTGATTAGCTCGCGTGTTGTCCTACTAACGTGTGTTATGTGTTTTAGCTACTATTTACCTCTTAGAAAAGCACCAAAAGAAGCACAACTCAGTTCATTTGTGTGTAGACAGCTACAGCTGTGTCGTAAGAAACCAAAGCCATGTTATTATTACACGTAAAAAATAGATTGATTGCAATAAGATGTTTCCTAAAACCACGAAGAGAAAAAGTCCAAATTTATTCTTTGCGTTTCACTTTCTTCCCATTTCACTAAAACTTGTTGACTTTAACAGACTGAGCTCATGAAACAGGGACTAATTTCTTCAATCCTAAAAATCAATCGATGGCCTCAGATACGTTTGGCTTTTTCCAGCCGGACTGAGTTGGAAAACCAGATTCTCGGAGCATTTTCCGATACGGAACAGCGCGTGTGGTGTCTGCCTACTAACAGCCGTCGGGTGTGTTTTTAATCTTGGTGTGACAGAAGACGGCTTGCTGTGACTAAACACTCGTGAGCACAGAGGAAGGTAAAGTATCATCTCTTCTAACCACGAGTTCTTCTGTACATCTCAGTTGACACGTTTCAGATGACTGGGTCCTTATACTGCTACTTCTTTTCTGTTTTGTTATTTGAAGATGGCTGAAGCAGCTAGGAAATTCACCGTTTCACAAGCATGTCCAGAAGAAGATGACCTCCTCCCTCCCCCACCTCCCCCTGTACCACCCAAACCTGCTGACTACGAAGGGCCGGCAGCATTATGTAGCCTCCCGGTGCCTCCTCCCAAAGAAAGCTTCACCACCCTCTATCAGCAACGACAGAAGAACGAGCTGAAGAGGCTCTTTAAACACATCCACCCGGACGTACGGGCGAGTCTCGACGACGCGGTGGATGATGAGATCATGAAAGCCGTGCAGTCAGAGAGTGCTCAGGCAGCAGATGGCTCTTATCAGGGTGAGGTTCAGTCCATGAGGTGGATCTTTGAGAATTGGACTCTGGACAACATTGGAGATCCTCATGAAACCAAAAAGCTTCTGCACACAGAGGAGTTAAAAGGCGGAGATGTCAGGAGCACCTCCTCAAAGTTCGAGTACGTAGACAGCGCCCGACACACGTCTACTAGGAGACAGAGCTCTGTCAGAGGTGACGTGAGAACATCAACATGGCTGTTTGAGACCCAACCTTTGGGTTCTCTCAGCAGATCCAAAGGCGAGGAGGGGGAACTGGTTGAAGCGGTTCTGAAAGAACCCTTACAGTCTGGAGATGTGAGAGGGACTCGGCTTCTCTTTGAGACGAAACCTCTCAGTGACTTAGGACGTTGCAATTCCATAGAAGACTGCAGCGTTCTGAAACTAAAATCAGAGCTTCAGGAGCAGAGAGGGGATTTCCAGAAAACCCTGAAACTTTTTCAGACAGACCCTGGCTGTGCCATCAGAGACAAGAACGGCAACATCCATACTGTTACATCCATCTGCAGGGAGGAGATCAGCAGCAGCAACTTCAGCACTGCCCGCTGGCTCTTTGAAACCCAGCCTTTGGACACGGTCAATAAAGGAAGTGACGGAATGAAAATGATACGGGGTATTTCCCTGGAGGAGGGGCACAGAGGGGGTGTTGACCAGAAACGGTGGATGTTTGAAACTCAGCCATTTGACACTATTCAAGAGGTTGCGGGAGTGGGAGAGTTTGATGGAAGAGCAGAAAGGTGTCTGGAGAAAGAAGCAATCATCGGCGGAGACGTGAAGACTTCTCTTTGGCTGTTTGAAACTCAACCTGTGGAGACTCTCAGTGGCAGCTATGAAGTTGGGCGCCTGCAGAAAATCACCCTTTCTGCCGAAGAACAAGGAGAAGTGAAAGGCAAAAAGCTAATCTTTGAAAATGGCAATTTTCAAAAGTACACCTCACGCCAAGAGGAGGAGATCAAAAAAGGTGACGTGAAGAGTTACAAACAACTTTTTGAAACAATTCCTTTGAGCAAAATTTCTCATTTTGAGAAGGAAATAACCACAAAGGAGGAACAATCAGGCGAAAATGTGAAAGATGACAAAAACCCTTTATATGCAATAAGGGATGGTCGTGGAAACATTCATGAGGTTGTAACAGTCAGCCGAGAGGAAATCATCAAAGGGAAAGTCAAGAACTACAAGTGGATGTTTGGCACCAAGCCTTTAGATCAGCTGGTAGATGCAAAAGGAAATGTTGAAGTAATTAAAGGCATCACCAGAAAAGAGGACACCACAGGTGATGTGAAAATGGCAAAGTGGTTTTTGGAAACCCAGACAACGGACGGGATCCATCTTAAGTGCAACCAAAATGAGCAAAGCTCTTCAGTGAAAGAAGAACCTTGCAAAGATGAAGTCAAGACCTGCAAATGGTTATTTGAGACGGAGACAGAGTCCATTGATGCTGATTCCAAAGCCACTACCTGGCTTTTTGAGTCCCAACCCCAAGATGGCATCAAAGATGGTGAACCAATCAGTTTGAAGCTCTGCAGCAGCACAATGGATCCTGTCAAATGCGAGGTTAAAACAACCAAACATCTGTTTGAAACAGAAACATTCAAGATTTCAGAACAGAATCTGAAGTACATCAGCCAGGTCCACCTCCAGTCGGGAGGTGTCTCGCGTGTCAAAGAGCTCTTTGAGTCCCAATCCCTTGATGAAATCGGATCAGAAAAGGTGACATCTTCTGAGGGGCAGAACCAAGATGAACACATAGAAAGAGGCTCGGTTCATAAATTTACATGGATGTTTGAGAACTGTCCCATGACCCAGATCAGCAAGGACCATGATGGCGTAAGCATGGAGATAGCTGGAGTCATTGAGAAAGGAGATGTTCAAAATAAAAAGTTTATTTTTGAAACCTCTTCATTAGACAAAATTCACCAGGAATCAAATGAGGAGAAGTCAGTACCCGAGGAAGGACCTTTGAGCAATGTTGATGTCAAGTCGAGCTCCATGATGTTTGAATCGATGCCGCTGTATGCAATCAGAGACAAGGAGGGCCAGTTTCATGAGGTGACAACTGTGAGAAAAGAAGAAGTGATGAGTGGTGACGTAAAAGGGGCCAGGTGGATGTTTGAGACAAAACCACTTGATGCCATCAAGGCAGAGAATGACGTTTATGTGATTCGAGCTGTCACGCAGGAAGATGTCAAAACAGGGGGTGTCAAATCAGCCAGGTGGAAGTTTGAGACTCAACCTCTGGATTCCTTCGGTCGAGACGAACCTCCCGTCAGAGTAACTGGAGAAATAGAAGGCATCAATGTCCAACAAAACAAAACGATGTTTGAGTCTGATCAGTCCTCCAGGAAGTTTGTCAGAATGGTTAGTGTCACTGATGTGAAGAGAGGGGATGTCAGGACCTCCACGTGGCTGTTTGAGAATCAGACTCTGGACAGTCTGAAAGGAGAACCTGAAGAACAGAGTCCGGTTCAAACAGTCCACAGGGAGGACAGCCAGAAGGGGGATGTGAAACGTTGCACCTGGCTGTTTGAATCTCAGCCCCTGGACAAGTTCAGGGAACTTGAGGAAGCCTCAGACCAAGCTGTGGAGGAGATACCCAAGGCCGACGTGAAGTGCACTACGTGGTTGTTCGAAACCACCCCGCTGGACAAAATCACTGCCAGCAGCACGGCTGACACCCTTTCGTATTTGTATGAAATGAATTTTATTCACTCAAGCGGAATTATAATAGAAGCAAATGAACAAAATAATGTTAATATGGCAAAATTTCAGCTTGAAAGCAACGGAGGTGTGAAGATTCAGAAAGAAGATGTCGTCACTGGTCAAATCAGGAACATTATGTTGCAACTTCTGCTCAAACCAACGATAAAACCACAAGTTAGTCTCCTGAGAGAAGTCGAGAAGGGCAAAATCAATACCGCTGTGATTGAACTTCCAGTCTTTGAGTCAACCACAGCTGCTGGCATTGAGCGTGATCAAAGAATCCAAAATATCACACAAACCATAGAAGAGTTACTTATCTACAAAAAACATTTCAAAAAGGGAATCGTCATGCAAGAGGCTGGAGATGGAAAAGCAGAAATGTCGGTTTATTCTCTAATAAGTAATGCAGAAATCAAAACTGAGAGTCAAATCGTGGAAAGGGGAGATGTTAAAAGTACAATTGGAAATCTGTTGGCAACCGCTAATAGTCACCAAACTGCAACGTCCTGTCGCGTGGATGAAAACGAGAAGGGAAATGTGAACTTGTTCAAGAGCTGCATTGAGAAGGGAGACCTGCAGTACTTGAAGAGTCTTCACGCCGAGGCATCTGAATGTGAAGCTGACCACAGCAGCTTGATCAAAGAGCAGATCGAAACAATTCAAGGGGGTGTGAAGGAAGCAAAGAGGAGCCTGTGGCAGCAAAAAGAGCAGGTGGAGCGAAGCATTTGTGATGTTTTGCCAGGGGATGTACAGAACACCAAAAAAGTGTTTGCATCTGAGAGCTGCGTTGGTGCGGACAGCAGTGTTCCTAAAGAAGAAATAATCCCAGGAGATATCTCTTCAGCAAAGCAACAACTTGCTGCGAAACCACCTGTGACTGTTGACAAAGAGGAGATCGTACCGGGAGACATCAGGGCAACAATGGAGTCATTAGAACGTGCAAAGCAGCAAAGCATGAGCGTGGAGCGGGAGACCTTTCAACCCGGAACAATCTATGACATGGACATATCCTCACAAGGTCCTGTAGAAGAAGGAAGTCAACCCCAGAAGGAGGTTATCGTATCTGGAAATGTGAGAGCAGCGAAAAAGTCTCTTGAAATGGCCAAGCAACAAAGCTTGCATGTGGAGCGGGACGTTGTTGTTCCTGGGAAAATATACAACTTGGGAGTGTCGGCTCAAGAAGAAAGCTCTTCAAAAGTGATGCAGACCACATACTCGTCGTCCTCCAGAATCCAGCAGATCAAGACTAACCCAAAGGTCAGTGAAGCAGAGCAGGAAAGCCAAGTTTCCTTTGATTCCTGTCAACAACGAGCTGTGTTAGTCAGTAATTGTGCCCGACACCCACTGCCACATCTTATAGACTGTGATTTTAATGGTCAGTCAACTGAGGGCGAGCTGGGAGACGACGTTAGAGGAGATGTGAAGGCAGCAATTAGGTCCCTGCAGAGTGCATCAACAGAGCAGAAGTTTGTAGATAAAGAGAATATCATTAGAGGAAATGTGCAGATGGCTTTGGAGTCTCTTGGGAAGTCTAAGGTTAACGTGTCCAAAGGAGACTATCAAGCTGCTATGATATACAGGAACTCAGGCAGGGCTTGTTCAGGAAGAAGCAAAACTGTTCACAATCAGTGTGTTGTGGTGTCTGTGCCTCCAACTGACACAAAATTATCTCATTCAATTGCAGTAACCTGTGAAGGGCAGCCAAGCATCTCAACTCAGATTTCAGTCCTGGACATCGTAGCTAATGGAAACTCTACATCACCTAGCTCTGAAAGAGTAACTCCACCTCCACTCGTAGAACAGACCAGGAAACCAAAGGAGCAGAAGCCAGCTTTACCACCAAAGCCTCAGTGGATAAAAACCATAGCTCTGGAAGGACCAAACACCTCTCCAGCACCTGCCCCTGAAGTCACCTTCTCTGAAGAAGATGATATAAGTAGAGTGGTTCCCCCAAAGCAAAGACAACAGCACGCTGTACAAGCTGCAGATAAAAGACAAGACGTCACAGCACACGGTAAAAACAGTAAAGGGAGTTCACACGAGTTGCTCCACCAACAAAACGGAGATGAAACCAAATGTGGATCAAACGGGTCAAACGAAGTTCTGATGACGGACTCAAACTTTCAGCAGAACGAGAGGAAATCAAATGTAAATGTTTCTAGCTCTAAAGAAGAGGTAATAGAAAGAAATGTGATACAGAAAATAAACGCAGTTGAGGAGATTCAGATGTGTATGAAGAACTATACAGAAGATGGAAAACAGGAGATGAGCAAGAGCTTGCAGAATGTCCTACAGAACTTTGAGAGGAAGGATGGCGAGGACAGGCGAGATCTGCTAGCGAAGAAGGTAAAAGTGATTCATAATAATGCTAGTGAAGACAAATACACCGATAAAACCACCGTCGGACAGCGCAAACACCATCCCAACCCGGCCAAAAACCAACACAGAACTCCAGCAGGAGCATCACAGAGCAACGATGACCAGATCCCTTTGCAGCAAAATGATCTGAAACGGAACAATCAAGAAGTTGGAAGTAAAGTTGTTATGAGAGAGAAGAAAGTAAGAGAAACAGAGGAAGAAAGGCGGCAAAGGCTTTCTGTCCACAAGGACGAAATCATGAAAGGAAATGTGAAGGCAGCCATGGAGATCTTTGAAAATTTAAAGAAACGAGAGGAACTCAAAGGAATCCTGTCTCAGGTGCAGGAGATGGAAGGTGAGGACTGCGGTGTGGATGCTAACTCCCTGATGACTCTGTATGACAATGTCCCTGCTTGGATGGCCACAACCAGTAGAAATGCTACAAAATGTAAAATGGAGGGAAAGAAGGTAGAAGTTGCATGGCACGACGATGATCTTGAAAGCATCTCCTCGGTTGAAACTGCGTTTGAAGATCTAGAAAAGGCGAGTAAGGAGATCATGAAACTCAAGGAGCAGACATTAGCCAAACTCGTTGACATTGAAGAAACAATAAAAAAGGCTTTGTACTCTGTGTCCAATCTCAAGTCTGAGGCTGACATTGCAGGCTTGTCGGGGCTGTTCGACGAATCTTTGAAATCTGAGCAGAACTTTCTTCCTCCCAAAAACATCAGGAAGATCAGTATTGTGTCAAGCAAGAGCAAACCAGGTCCTGCCAACCAGACGAAAGGTTCAGATTCAAACCTTCCCAAAGGACAAGTATCCAATCAACCAAACAAAAAGCCACTCATTAGACAATCCTCCTCTCAATCCTCACCGTCTTTCATCTCCATTCACTCTACAAGAAAGCCGTCTGAACAACAAAAACCAACCATGACAACATTTAAACCAAATTCTGAAGTTTCTTCACATAGCTGCACCAATGCAACTCATGATCTAGATCCTGTTGCTCCTGAATCCTCAAAGAATGGTCTCAGTCCAGAACGCAAAGTCAGCGTGCTTGAGGTGAAAGCTGTTCCCAAGCAGGAAGCAGGAATAGTCGGCACCAGGACGGTCAGCGAAACGTACGAGGAGAGCGACGGCTTCGGCAACGTCTTTGTTTCTTCCACAACTTCCACGTTTATCACCAACCAACCCGACGGGAAAACACCAGCTCTGTTTGAGGTGATTGGAAGTCCAACCAGATACGAAGTCCTGACGTCTCCTTCAGCTCCAGCGTCTGGAAGTCCTTCAGGAGACAGAGTGTTGAACAACCCAAAGAAGGAAGGGAGGGTGTTCGTTTCATTTAGGCATCCAAAGGAAAAACACTAATGTGATTAAAGTTTGGTGAATTTAGTCAGGTTACATTTGTGAGTTTATCTCGTTTTGTTTTTATTTAAAGTTTTTTTTAGTAATGTTTGTGTATTAAACTAATATTATGAGAATAAAATTACCTTTAAATAGTAAAAAAAAAAAAGTTTTATAGAATTTTCTACTGTAACCAGGGTTTGTGTATTAAAGCTAAACATTAACACTAATTTTTGTGTAAAATGTCAAATAAACCACTGAAAGTTTAAAAGTGATCTTGGTTATTATGCTTTATGGTGCTTGTTTTCCAAATAACCTACCAAAACTATTACGGTTAAACGTGAGCCTGCTGCAGGTACGTAGGTTTTATTTCTCAGATGATCTAAATCAGTCGATCCCCAACTTTTGTTTTTGACACATAAAAGCAATCTGACAATAAAAAATCTACTTTGTTCAGTACAGTGATCCCTCGTTTATCGCGGTAGGTGCGTTCCAGACCTGGCCGCGATAGGTGAAAATCCGTAGTAGGGACACCATATTTACAGTATTTATTTAACAGGTACGTACAGTATTCAGACTTTAAAAACCCTCCCTTTACATAGTACTGTTAACAAACCACCCTTTAATGTACATTTTATGATGAAATTGATGGAAAAAAAACAGGAATTTCTTGATATTTTGCATAGAAAAATACCGCGAATCGGTGAAAAATAACGCGAATCGGCGAATTTCCCTTGAATAAGGCTCCAAAGAAAAAATCCGCGAAGTCGTGAATCCACGATAAACGAACCGCGAAGTAGCGAGGGATCACTGTATTACCGTAGTTTTCCAGACTATGGTCTGTTTCTATCTTTTTGTTACAGTTGAGACTAAAACAGCAAACACAGAGCCTCATTAACCAGTACTGTGCTCATCTCTGCATTGGTAAAGGCTGGTGCTAAACAATGATCATCATCATCATCATCATCATCATCATCATCATCATCATCATCAAAGTTGCTTGAACTTTTGAAGATTATGAAAAAACTCAAATAAGGGTTTTAACATCCCACAGTGGGGTCCTGACCCTCACTTTAAGGGTACATAGCCAAAGATTTCTTCATTTTGTCCGATGTGTCATCTGTAGTTTCAGCCCACATCTCCAGGACACTATGAACATTATTTTATAAATCCCTCTTGTTCTAATTTGTTCGATAAACAATTTTTAAAGAGTAAGTCACTTGTTACTTAAAAAAAATGATCGGTCACTCTGAGTTTCACATAAAAAAAACCCTTTTCTCCTGCATTAGCTGCTAATAGAAAGGATGCACTCAGGTCAGAAAATGCCACACAGATCAACGGTACGCTGTAAATTAGCATTCATGGGCTCACCCATTCTGGCTCACGATGTGGAAAGCTGAGACAGCAGATTGCAACTAGGCTAGTAGAAGCTAACCATTAGCCTTAGCAACTCCACCACACAGCAGAACTCTTTCAAGCTTGTGTTATTTATGAAGAAAAAATATCAACTTTGCAGAGCAAATGGAGCCAGTGGTAGAGTTGTGTTGCTGTTACCTAATCAGAGGCAAGATGTCCAAATAACAGGTAAAGTCACTCAGACTCCTGTTTTCTGCTCCTCTCTCTGACGGCTAACCTTTACTGACTGAAACAGGAGCACCAGAGCTTTTTCCCCCACAGAGATCGACTCACAAAGCAGTTATTTATAGAAACCACTGAAAAAATGAATGAACTTCGTCTTTAATATTTTTGTTTCAATCTGGTTTTATAAACTACCTAACCAAACGAGACACATAAACAAAATAAAAATGCATATGTAACGGCATGAAGGCTCTCTGATTTGTGCCAAAGGTCACATTTGCCCAGCTGGGTCAAGCCGGGTCAAACAGTACTTTGAATCCACAGATTAAACCCAAGGAGCCGCGATGTCTGCTCACGATCATAACACCAGTATCTGCTGTTCCGTCCCAAGAAGGACACTTCAAGCCACAATGATAATAATTAGGTACTAATTAATAAACAGTGTTGGGCAAGTTACTTCAAAACTGTAATGCATTATTTATTACTTGTTACCCTCATTTTAATTTAATTGATTGCATTACAATATTACTGATTTCAAAATGTAAGGCATTACACTACTTTTGCATTACTTTAAGTTACTTTCACCAGAACAACTTCAATATGAATTAGGTCATGTGACGCTCAGTGAACTCATGACACATCCAGAGGAAGGTGATGTGGTGTCTGAGCTAGGATTGCTGTTAAAATCCATCAGATATAATAACAGTTCTTTATTAAATAAAAGCAACAACAATCTGTACTCTCAGCACGCTGCCATCTTAGATTAACTGAGCAGGAAGTGAGGTGGTGGGGGCTCCAAGCCTATATTTGCCTTCGTCCCCAAATGCCTTGATACGGCCCTGGATGTGGGACTGACTTCTGGGGTGATCTGATTCTATCACATGTATAAATATTAAATGCTTATATATTATTGCTTTTCACTGGTAAAAATGTGTATTGGGGATAAATCTACCTACTTTTTTCTTTTCAAGCACTTTGTTTTGTTTTCTTGATTTTATTTGAATAATTTCCGGCTCTTTCTCTCTCTAACCTTCCTGCATGCTGCATGTTTTCTCCGTCTTCCAGAAAAACTGTTTCCTAGATTTCCTGCTTTCTAACCAATCAGCCAAAGGGATCTACTGAATGCAAAAAAAAAAGCTTCATATGCGCTGCGCTCCAGCAGCAATGAGTTGAAATAACCGGGGCACAGATTATGAACTCAGCTGAGGCAAAGCACGTCAGAAAAGTACACAAAGTTCCAGAGAATATGGGCTGATATGACCAATCACAAGTAAATTATTTGGTTTGGGTGGAATGATTTTGTGAACATAACAGCGGCCGCGTGCAGGACGCAGCTGGAGTATTTGAGCCATTACCGCTGCGTCCTCTCTGCTCATAGAATGCCCGCCAAGCTGAGTCTATAAATGGCATCATATATGTAGATACTGGATCTTTTATGTTGTTTCTTGGGCTTCCCGTAATTTTAATTTTTAGGAAACCCACATCTTGATTCTGGGTTTAAAAATGCATTGTAATTACCACGTTACTGACAATTGTACCAAGTAAATATTACCATTTTCTTTCCCTGTAATGCCTTACATTACCATATTATAGCAAAAAGCAATGCAGTACAGTAATTAATTACTTTTGTATCACATTGCTCCCAACGCAGTTAATAAACTCATAGTTTTTTACTGTTTAATATAATCATTACAACATGATCACTTGGTTCATTTTAAAGGTATCTTAATTACATGAAATGGATTATTATGCTTTGGGTAATAACAATAATTATTAATTATAATGATTATAAAGATGTGTTCAGCAAAGAAGATCTTCACCCTATCCAGCTGACACAGAGTTCAGATAAACAATAACTGCATCACATGTTTTTGGACGCATGAGCAAGCTTTCTTCCGGAGAGAGAGGGAGTGGTTCTGAGAGAGTTTGGTAAAACTAACCATCACAGATTTCACGTTCAGTCCTGAACAAGACATTATCCTGAGGAGCCAGGGACGGCCGCCCTGACCCTCTGCCTGCTGTTCTGTCACGCCGGCAAGAATGGCTAAAGAACGAAAGAAAATAACGAACTAACGAGGACTCTACCAGAGTCCTTGATTTCTGAAGTTAAGTTAAGTACGAGAACGTTCATCTGCCAAACGCTTCGTACACCGTGTAGCCCGGACATCTCTGGACCGGACGATCGGACACTCGCGTCTCCTCTACCAGCCGAAGTGTCATCTTGGATGAAACCCATCCTCCTGACGTCCGGATCCACAAAGGGGGTTCTGTTTGGGTGAGGTAGAACACGACAGATGACGTTTGATGCTGTTTCTCTCAAAATAACTCAGTTATCTGCAAAACATCATTTCACCCAGAACACTTTCAAGCTCTCTGAAAGAAACCTTCTGAGAATCCCAGTCACGCATCCAAAACTCACCATTCTCAAATTAGTTTTCCACCCAACACAGGTTTGCTTTTAAACAAGTTTAATATCAAAGCTGTTAAGGATTGTTATTAAAATTGCCATCCACAAATTGTCATTTTATAATTGTCGTTTCAAATTTTCAGTTTAAAAATTGTCAGTAATAAATTTCTTCATTTTTAAACTTGCCTCATTATTGAAACAAAACACAGAAAAGGGTTGCATTTCCATTTATCGAATGAAAATAATCTTACTGATTCTTCAGTTTAATAAATAAACTTTCGTTATTAATTTAAGTATCTTAAATGAATTTTCACCCCATTACACATATAACCCAGCCAATACTCAGAAGACAAAATATACAGCAATAGGGTTACAATAAATTGTTTTCTTATCATCACAGTTCCCGTTGCCTGCCAGGGAAATGTGCTCTGCTTGCCTGACTCCCGTCTATCCAGTGGAAAAAATGGTGGTCAACAAAGTAGCACTCCACTACAATTGTTTCTGCTGTAGACACTGTAAGAAAAAGCTCAGGTGAGATGTTTTGATATCATAAAAAACTATTTGAATTATTAATTATTGGCATTCTGAACTAATCTACTCTTATCTTTTTTCTCTCACATGCTGAAATCTGTCAGATCAGCTGATCAGACCAGAACGAACATAATGTGACGAATGTTTCTGTTTTCATTGCAGCATTCACAACTATTCATCTCTTTATGGAGAGTTTTACTGCATTTCTCACTACCAACAGCTTTTTAAAAGAAAAGGAAATTACGATGAAGGGTTTGGGCGCTCGCAGCACAAAGATCGCTGGCTGCTCAAAGATAAGGGAACAGATGAACCAGACACCAAGTTCACTCCCAAAATCACCCAAAAATACCAAAACCCTGCTGCTGATGGGCTCGCTGCAAAGGCAAGCACAAGAGAGCCGGGGGGACAATGTGTTGCTGATGTTAAAGGTAAACTGAAAGTTAGCTGGCCACCAGAGAAGAAGACAACAAGAGTGAATTCAGCTCATATAAGAAATGAGTCCGAGCTGAAAAATAAGATATCTGACATCAACAAAGCAGCTTCTGATGGTGTGTCTGAGAGTCGGAGCTGGGACAAGCTCAACCACAGAGGTCAAATCAGAGATAAAGTCATCCAAGAAATGTCTAAAACAAGTCTGACCACAGGAACACCAAGTCCAGCTGGTCAATTTCACATCACCATCTCATCGACGGTACTTAAAGCTAATTCACCTCTGCCAGAAAATGGTGCATCTGTTAAAAACCAAGGACCGGCTCAGACGAGGTTAGCTCCAACCTTAAAATCTAATAACAGTCGTGCTTCCAACAGACTGGAAACATGTTCGAGTAACCAGAAAAAATCAGTTCGGTTTGCTCCAAACGTTGATGTGGCCCAGTGCGATCTGTCCAATCAGCTGAGCTCTGGAGCTGAAAGTGAAATGCTCTCAGCTACGTCTGAGCCAAACCAGCCAATCAAACCCAGAGATGTAAGACAGCTGACTGACAGCACTAATGAGGAAGCTCCCAGCGAAGAAGAAGAGAACAAAAGCGAGGGAACTGTTGAAGAAGAAAGCTACAGACAAACAACCAATGGGATGGACCAAGAGCTTCATGCTGAAGTGTCGAGGAGTCAAGAGATTTCTAAAATCGACAAATCTCTGACTGAAGTCAAGGCAGAGGTAAATAACTTGCAAATTCTCACAGGAACTCCAAGTTCATCTGCAGACACGAGACAACCAGAGCCACCTGAGATGATGGATATAAATTCAGAAGACTCAGTCAACAAACTCCCCTTTGAGGATCTAAGTGGTCCACAAGCTCCTGCAGGACATGGGACCAAAGGCGAGGCCTCTCTTGAAACAAAGGAAAACCAGCTGGCAACACCTGATTCAACCAATGACCAAGACACCAGTGGTAACCAAAAGAAACCGGTTGCAAGAACAAATTCAAAAACTAAACTAGGATCCTGGTCTAAAGGAAAGAGTCCTTTGTCAAAGCTCTTCACATCAAGTGGAAATGGCAAAACCACCAGGGCTGAAGCAAAGGATGCCAAAAAACCTGACATCAAACCCAGTGGTGGACTCCTAGGAAGGCTGTTTCAGTCCTCCCCAGACATCCCCAAACCCCCGGCACAACACAAAAGTAACACCACAACAAATGATGACAAAAACATAGAAAAACAGACGGTGACAAAGGAAAGGCAGGAGAGTGTGTCTGAAGTTGGACCGTTGGAAGCAAATGTTGCACAAACGTCTGAAACTGATGCACAAGGGAGTAACTGCAGATCTACAGAAGAAACCAACCACAGCCAAACCCTGATCAGTGAATCTGGCGAGGACCCAACAAGTCCAGGCAAAGATCCAACAGGTCGAGAGTCAGAACCACAGAGGGATGTAGTTATGGATGCTGGTGATCCTCTAACACAGTCTGAAGACTTACTATCTTCTGTGATTAACACTGTGTCTGAGGAGCAGATCAGCCCATCCAGACCTGAAAGAAGAACTGATGAGAGTTTAAACAATCCATTTAATGATGACATCTTTGGAGAATGTTCTAGTTCAGTCCTCAGTGGTAATACAGATGAACTTTCTTCAAAGGCAAACAAAACGCCTGAAGAGCCAAAGGAAGAGGGTGGAACTCTTTTTGATCTCAGTAATGAACAAAGTTCTGATTTGTTTGGCTTTTCCAGTCCATTACTTTCATCTTCTCTGACAGAAACCACCAAACCTGCAGACGAAATCGTTAACCTGATGGACTCTCATCCGTTATCTGCTGAAACTCAAGTGAATCTGACCATGACAGATCTACCTAATGGTCACAATTCAGCTCCCAATAAACAAGAAGATCCAACAGATCCTTTTGGTGCAAATGACCAAACAAGTGAAGAAAAGGCTGACTTTGACCTGTTCAGCTCAACGGATCAGCTGTTCCCTCCTGCTGTGAACATAACTGACCAAGGAGGAGCTTCCACAATTCCCACATCTTCTTTTCCTGATGACATCTTTGGTTGTAACAATATCTCGAGCAGTGCCGACGTTCCTGAAGTGCTACCAAGCAGTCCGGCCACTTGTAATTCACTAAATGACCTCTTTGGGTTTGACATAGCCTCTACTGCTGCTCCTGCTGCTCAGATTGATCTTTTTGCTGAAGATTTGTTTGCATCAGAAGCACACTTGCTGCCCACCTTTGGGCCAGGAGATGCAAACATATTTGAGGACAATCTGTTGGTGTCTGAAGACAAAAACACTGAACAGAAATCAGAGAGCAGCAGCTGGATGGATGATCTGTTGGGATGAATGCAGAATTGTTCCAACTACAGCCTAAAACAATCACTCTTAAATGCATAGATGTGGAAATGATTGGGTTCCATTCATAGATCTTTATAAATCAAAGGCATTATTTTATGTTTTATGTTTGTTTGATAAAAATTTACTTATTTCAGCAAAGATTAAAAAAATATTTTAAGGGATTAAAGAGTAACACCATAATTTGTGTTGATTCTGCATGACATCAAGAAATTTGAAGCACAAATACAAATGTTTGCTCTTGATGTATTCCTGAGTGATTTATGTACAAACATGTGATGTAATAAATATTCAATTGAAAGACCTGAGCTGTTGGTATTGGATGACTGCTCTCAAAGAGCAAGTCACGCCCAAATCAACTTTTTTTTTTTGCTGATAAACTATAAATGGGAGTCTTATCGTGCTGTTGACACGTGTGGTCAATAATTTGGAACTTGGTGCATAGTCAAAATTTAAAGAGGGACTGCACACCATCATAAACATAAACATTGCATTTGTAAAGACCCAATTGTACACAGCAAAATCGTCAGTGTAAATTTAACTCGGATAGTGTTATTTTTAACACTATCGCAGTGTTTATATAATCCTCACCAGTCCAGTGTTAAAATTACACTTTCAATAGTGTTATAAAATAACACCATCAATGGTGGTGTTTTATGACACTTTAGAGTGTTGTTTTATGACACTTTGGAGTGTCACTTTTAAGTGTATTTAACACTAATCAGCACTAATATTTGATTAAATTTTTAACAAGTGTTTTTAACATGTTCTAATTATCATTTTGTTATGATATTGTGAAATTCACAGCAAACACCAGTTTAGTTGTACTGTTAAGTGTTTGCAATAGTGAAAACAATCCCATAATCAAAATTTATACAGTTTATAAGCAAAGAAATGTTATTTTGGGGTTTAGTTACTCTTTAAACATTCTGCCTAAAACTGTCAGTGTTGCACCCTCTTCAGGTAAAAACTCTTAACTGCATTTGGATTAAAATCTGCCATCGCTATTGGCTAAGAGGTACACTATGATGTTAGTTGGTACAATTTGATATCACAATTTCGTTGTGAGCCTGTGTGTGTGTATTTGTTAGTGGCTCCACCCACTTGGTCTGTCAGGTTGCATTTTTCAAACAGGAAGTGGGAGTGGAGTAGGACTCTGGTAGGGGGTGACTCGCTCTTTAACAACAGCTCATGTTTTCAGGGTGTTTAATTTAATGTGACATTTAGCGGAAGAACCCAACAGAATTTCCCGTCAGGAGCCGAATATATCGGCAGGTTCTCTGGAACAAAAAGAAACTTGAACTATAATGTTTAGAGTTTGATGTTTTATTGGGTTTTTAGGCATTCAAAACATAAAAGCACATACAGTTTAAGTAAATAAGTTTATTAAAGTCCCAACTTCAATTTAAAACAATGATTCTACTTATTGTTTGGGATTCTGTTATAGTTTATTAAAAGCACTCTACACACAGTCAAACAAACATTCATAACATTGAAGATTCAATACATTGAAAACTGGCTGCTGGTGTTTCAATCCTGAAAGACACAGATTTATTCATAATTAACAGTTGGAGCTTTACCAAATATGTTGCATGTCACCCACCACTACCTGTTATTTTCAGCATCTTCTACTGTCTCGGGAAGCTCCTTCCTTCTGGTCTCAGGGAGGAGGACTCCTAGAGCTCCACTGACCAGCGTCAGGCTGCTGGAGACTGCGATGGGGATGGCCCAGTGGTACACAGCTAGCATGTTTAACAGTGGAGCCACTAAACCACCGGTTCTCCCTGACATTGACCCCAAAGCTGTGGCTGTCTGTCTGAATAAGATTCACAAGGTTTCACAGCACTCTGATTCTTTTCACTGCAAACTGTGACAACTTACCGAATGGATGTTGGAGACACCTCCTGCATGTAGACAAAGGTTACAGAGCCGGCCCATGTCAGGAAAAAACGAGCTGCAACAGCTAAAGCTGTCACAGCTATAGGATGGTCTAGGAAGGAGGTGGAACACACACTCAATATATATAAACATAAAAGATATACATGAAGAATGGAACAAAACACAAAAACACACTCAGCAATCCCATTGGTTACCTTGGAAAACAGCCAGGATGAGCATGGAAGAAAGCCCTCCTGTCACAATAGTAGACATAAAGAGGATCTTTCTACCAAAAACCTCCAGGAGCCACATGGAGAGTAAATTAGCTGGGATTTCAAACGCGCCAAAAAGGAGCTGAGTCACAAAGATGCTGAAGCCAAGGCTGCCCATGTCCAAGTACAGGCAGTAAATGGAGAGGTTCACACAAAACCTTAAAACAGACAAAAGCCTTTTAGTTAAATGATTCGGTGGTTAGATTCACCGCCATGTCTGTACCAGAACTCACCAGGCCAGCGTTACAGTGAGGAAGTACCTGGTCAGCCTCCGGGATCTGAAAATGAGTTTAATCCCTCCGTTCTTTGGGGTGTTATTCACGTCAATCTGTTGCAGAGACACCAAAATCACTCCCACATCACCGTGTCTACTGATGAAACGGTTACTAGTAACCACAGTTACAATTACTATCTTAGTTTCACAGTTTTAACTGAATTTACCAATAAAAACAACGTATTTATGAAGCCAGTTGGTTAATTATGTTTTACTCAAATTCCTTCCTCTAAAGTGAATGAAGTGTTTGGCCTAACCAATCTGACTATCATCATCTTCCTAATCCAGACAGCATCAATTAGACCAAACTGACCTTCACAATAAAAGCCCCTTGCAAATGCACACAAAAAAATTAAAAGGAAACAGATAAAGTTAAAGTTGAAGGGTGAGCAGTCACAGTGCAGACTGTGCAGCATAAGAAACATTTATTCAAAGGTTGATGAAAACATGACTTGGGGCACATTTGTGGTCATGAGGAAGCTGACTCCATCGAAAGCAGCTTCATCCTGTTTGGTTCTGACCAAACAGCCACTGACTATTTCCTGAGGATCTCAGAGCCCTGCTTGGTGTGTACAATTATCTAAACAAAAAGAAAACCGTCACAACTTTTTAAGTTTGATTTAAACACTGCCGTTTCTTCTGTGCTTGTAAAGTCCACAGAGTTCCTAATGCAGGTTATATGAGTAATGTTACATAGTTGTTTATTTATTAATCAGCAAGTGCTGGGTTTTTCCAGTCAATGTCTGAGTGAAATGTTAATAATAAAGGAAAAAATACTTTTAAAATACTAAGAATAACATAATAATAACTATAATAATAATAATAATAATAATTATTATTATTATTATTAAAGAACAACATCAATTATTCATACATTAAAAACAATAGAAGAAGAAGAAGACGAAGACGAAGAAGAAGAAGACAACATTCAGGTAAACAAAGAACTCAGTGATGATTCTGGCTCTGCGAGGAGCAATAAGTCAAATAAATAAATAATCATTGAAATGTTAGTTTAGATTGTAAAACCTTGTCCAGCAGAGAGTGTGGAACAGGTTGTTTGTTAATGGCTGCTGCTTTGACAATCAGCTGTTTAGCCTCCTCTGTTCTCCCTCTGCTCAACAACCATCTGGCAGACTCTGGAACAAACCTTCAAATAATATTTTTTATTAAACATCAGAAACCCCAATCCAGTTAGAGAGTTCAAAATGAAAACTTCTCTTTCATTTATTTGTGAATAACGGTGTTTGTGAGTTTGTGATTGTACATGTCTTCAGATTTTCCTAAAACAAATGGAGCACACGTACCATATGTAGACAACAACTAGCGCGAGGGGTGCTGCTGAGATTAGCTGAGCTAATCTCCAGTCTCTGATGAAAAAGATTGTCCCAGCAAGGAAGCACTGACCAACCGAGGCAAAAAGCTGGGTCATACACACTCCCCATGACCGCTTGGACACTCCGATCCACTCAGTAGCTGCAGTACAAATAATCCCAGTGAAATCAAATGCAGGATTATGAAAAATATTTGTCCTCTTGCAGGTCAAAATAATAATTATGAGGAAAAAATCTACCTAAGTCTCATGGAGGAAGAAGAAGAAGTAGACGTTTAATTATATAGAACCTTTTACAGATTAAGTCACAAAATGCTTCCCAGTACGATGAGCAACAGAATTACAGTAAAACATTTAATAAAACAACAGCCTCACAATAAAATATCAGTTATTAATAAAAGTGGTGGGTGACTAGTGGCAGGGTGGGATTATGGAAAAGACAGCCAGTATTAGAGCTAGGAGACTAAAAGTGAGTTGTAGTCAGTTTGGTGAGGACGTAGGTGGCTGGAGGAGGCTAAAAGCAGAAAATAGTATAAACAACAGAATAAGTGTGAAGGAAGGAAGTGATCACCCCCTAAACCCCATAACTGGGGTAGGGCTGGGCAATACGGCCTAAAAATAAAATCTGATTTAATTTTTTTTATTCGATTTACGATTCTCTTCCCCTCAATTATTAAGAATAGCAATAAGTACAAATGGAAGGCACCTTAAAGAGCAAGTCACCCCGAAATCAGCTTTTTTTTCTGATAAACTATTTACATGTGTGTCTATTTGTGCTGCAGACATGTGTAGTCAATAGTTTTGCACTTTAGTGCATTTTAGTTAAAATTTAAATTTTCTGCCTAAAACTGTCAATGTTGCGCTGTTGTCAGGTAAAAACTCTGCACTGCATTTGATTTTAAATCAGCCATCGCAATTGGCTAAGAGCTACACTAGAACGTTAGCTGGTCCCATATGATGTCACAATGTCGTTGTGAGCCTGTGTATGTGTGTGTATTTGTTTGCGGCTCCACCCTCTCGGTCTGCTAGGCAACAGCATTTGTTGTATTTCTCAAACAGGAAGTGGGAGCGGAGTAAGAATCTGGTAGGGGGTGACTTGCTCTTTAAAGCCAATTTTGTTAATGTCACGATCTGTTCCCTGCTCCTGTGTCCTGCCCCTGTGTTTCCTGTGTCTGCTTAGTTTATTGTTTATACCTGCCTCCCGTTACCTGATTACCTGCTCCTCACGTATTTAAACCCTGCTTGCCTTATTGTTAGTTGTCGGATCATCTGCGTTGTACCGTGCATCAGTTATGTTAATCCTGCCTGTCTGCTGGTTCACCTGTGTTGCTGTTCCTGTTGTCTCCCGAGCACTCAAAGACTTTTTATTTTAGCTACTGCCTGCAGTGTGCTCTCACTCACCTACTTTGGATCCAAACAACCCCTAAAGATGACAGAGTCCTGCAGAACTGTAGGTGCTGTTCTGCGTTGTTTTGTTTTAAACGTTTTAGTGTGACGTGTTGCCTTGTGAGATGTTTTAGCCTACTTCATGTTTGAAATATGGTTAATTTAAAAGATTTACCTTAATTTAGTAGTTTAAACTTGTTGTAAATCATACATACACAGTATAATGCTGTTGACCCGGAATCCTCCACCACCAAATCCCATCAGGCAAAGGGACGCCATATATAAGTAAACATTGGGACATAGTGCTGTCGTCACCGTGAACACAAACAGTATGACTAATGGAATTTGATTGGCCCGTTTACGACCAAACCTGGAAATCAAACAAAAACAGAAATGCTGTTAAAATTAAACAGGCTTTACAGTGAATGAATTAGCATTGCTTTAATAATTTCTGATCACTTGCTGCCTGCATTGACAGAATTTTAAGATTGAATCACCCCGAGTTTCTCATGAAGGCTGAACATGAAAATAGCCTCCTACACCTATCCCCTGCATTCGCTTCTGATAGAAAATAGACGCTGACACTCTAGGATTTGAAAAGCCCGATAGATCTACGTCACACTGTCACTTAACATTCAGGGACTCACCCATCTTGGCTCGCAACGGGGAAGGCCGTTGTTGTTTGAGCGTCCAGAAAAGAGTAAAGAACGTCTCGGCTAGTAGAAGCTAACCATTAGCATTAGCATTTCCACCTCATGACATAACTCCTTCAGGTGTATTATTTGTGGAAATAAAACATTTATGCTGCAAAGCAAACAGTCAGTGGTAGAGTCGCGCTGCTTTCATCCCATCTGAGGCGAGATGTCCAAATATCAGGAAATAGAGAGCCTATGGCTCCGCCCACTTCAATTTAAATGATGAATAATTGTGAGTTACTATCATGTCTGTCAAGTAATTTGAGATCTTTTTAGCTTGTGAAACTAAAATAATCAGTCATTGCATATATGACGTCACCGCAGAATCTCTTGTCCCCCAGCGTAGCTGCTACTAACCACATGGCCAGATTTAGAGTGGTTTTCTCCATGTTTAATATTCCAGGAAGAAGCTTTCTAAACTCACAACCATTTTTCTTCTCATCTTCTCTCTAACTGGTTTGATGACATTGGTTTTGTGAGACAAACATTTGTAGCCTGCTACGTCTTTTCACATTAAATCCAAAGTAACTTTTGCCACCTGTTGAAACAAGCACTATTTTTGGCATCAAAATGTGTCTTTAAAATTCCTGGAAATCAAGTTAAATCAGCTGCACATATCAAATGGGATGGGAAACTAATTTATCCGCCTACAGACTCTCATGCATTTCATTTGGCAGTTAGGGACCAATGCTCTGAAGTAGATGGGCGTGGTTAGGCTCCCTATAACACTCTGAAGTGTACAATGTAATGGGACACTATTTATTTAGGAGCCCTGTCAAACTTGGAATGATAATGAGGAAAACCTCTGCTCCCACACAGGAGAAACAGGACTGGCTACTACTTTTGTCGTGGGATTTTGCTGTAATATCCATCCATCCATTTTCATCCCATTATCCAGGGTCGGTTCGTGGGAGCAGCAGCCTAAGCAGAGAGGCCCAGACTTCCCTCTCCCCAACCACTTGAGCCCGCTCCTCTGAGAGAATCCCTGGCAAGCCAAGAAACATAGCACAGTTGGTGTCCTGGGCGTTCCTCAGGGCAGCAGTAGCTCAGGAGATAGAGCGGATTGTCCAGTAATCGGAAGGTTGTAGTTTCGATCTTGGCTTCCACCAGAGAATGCTGTTGTGTCCTTGGGCAAGACACTCAACCCTCCATGCCTGATGGTGGTGGTCAGCGGGACTGGTGATGCCTGTGATCGGCAGTCCCGCTTCCATCAGTGCGCCCCAGGGCAGCTGTGGCTACCCTGTAGTTCATCACCACCAGCGTGTGAATGTGTGTGTGAATGGGTAGATGACTGTTGTGTTGTGTCGTGAAGCACCTTGGGGGGTTGTACAACCCTAAGAAGGTGCTATGCAAATACAGGCCATTTACCGTTCCTTTGATCTCCTTCCGGAGGGACTTACCCGGAAAACCTCACTAGGGAGGCACCCTAACTAGATGCCTGAGTCACTTCAACTGGCTCCTCTTGATGTGGAGGAGCAGCTGGCCTACTGCGAGCTCCTCCTGGATGACAGAGATCCTCACCCAGTCTCTAAGGGAGAGCTCACACACCCTGCGGAAGAAACTCATTTTGGCCTCTTGTATCTTGTGAAAGCTTGTAACCATAGGTGAGGGTGGGAACGTAGATCAACAGGTAAATCAAGAGCTTCATCTTCCAGCTCAGCTCTGTCTCTGTCAACGCCAGCATCACTGCAGACACAGCATCAATCTGACTAATGATCTCCAGCTCCATTTTTCATTCACTAGTGAACCAGACCCTGAGATACTTCAACTCCCTCACTTTCAGGACCTTGTCCCTGACCTGGAGAAGACATTCTATGCTTTTCTGATTCAACACCAAGGTCTCGGATTCAGAGGAGCTGATTCTCATCCCAGCCGCTTCACACTTGGCTGCGAGCCACTCCGGTGAAAGCTGGAGATCACGTTCTGATGAAGCAAACAGGACCACGTCATCTGCAAAAAGCTGGGGCCATGATCCCCAGGCCACCAAAACAGATCCCCTCAACACCTTGGCTGTGTCTAGAAATCCCGTTATGAACAGAATCGTGACAAAAGGCAGCCTAGGTGGAGTCCCACTCGCACCAGAAACGAGTGGAATTTACTGTGAGTACCCCCCACAGGGCCCCCCAAGGGTCGCGGTCGAATGCCTTCTCCAATCCATAAAACACTTGTAGATTGGTTGGGCGACATACCACGCACCCCCCAGGATCCCTTTAAAAGTATAAAGCTGGTCCAGTGTTCAAAGGCCAGGACGAAAACCACATTGCTTCTCCTGAATCCGAGGTTCAACAATCCAGGGGACACATTTTGTTACAATACAATCAGCAAGTCTGAGCTCAAAGTTTAAAATGTGAAAGCATGCAGCTGGGATTCAAACATGTGACCTTCTTGCTGCAAGGCAACAATGCTATTAAGTGCACGACCATTAAGTAATAGTGGTGGCCCACATTATTTAAATTCTGTTTATCTTGATATGTCTTTTCTGAAATGGGTTTATGATGACAGCTGGGCAGAGATGTACCAAAGTTTTGATCATACTTACGACTCTGCCAAAGGTCCAAACATGAAAGAACCGAGGAGAACCGAGGTCAGAAACACTGACTGGATCACTCCTACCAAAGCTGACTGACTGCAGACCAGATCAAACTGAAAATAGTTACAGATTAAACAGCAGTTGCATTAAAGTTTTTGTTAAACATGAGAAAAATTAAGAACTTTCTACACATCACTTACATCAGTAACTATAGTGGCCTCATACAGCATGTTACCGTACACCCATCCACTAAGACACCCTGTGGTGTCGTTGAGTCCCGACTCCCGGATGGTAGCGATGTCCCAGTCCACAGGGACAAACATCTGACACCTGCTGAAGGTCCCATCCTCCTCCCGGGGCAGAGTCAGGTTCAGCTGCTCCTCTCTGCTCAGGTTTGGAGCAGTCCTGAGGATCCAGTCTGTGTTACAGAGTCGCTCTGGATCCGGCTGGATAAAGAGAAGGCTTGCCAACATAAAAGACTGAGTAAAATTAGGAGAACTAAGTGCAATCAGAATGAGTTTCTGGAATAACCCGAAGTCTCCGATGCTTTTTAGGATCTCTCCAAAGTCTGTCATCTTGACAACGGCTTTTTCTTTGTGCAGCGACTGAACTACAGCTTCAGACAGCAATGTTTAACCTGCTGTCTTAACTTAAAGCTGCCAGGAAGCTCTTTCATTCAGATGGTCCTCACTCGGACGGCACTAAAACTTAATCATTTCCAGAGGGATTCTGAGAAAGATGCTGCTCATCTTATATCAGATATTATTTCTCAAATAAACTAAAACCTTTAGAGATTTGTACAAAAAGATGTTATATCACCATCATTTGAAGATGTCATTTAGGACTTCGGTCAGCAAAAACATAGTTTTAATGTTTTAACCAGGTCTTTTCCATCTGGAAGAAAAGAATGAGGTTAAAGATGACCTTTGAGACGTCTCTTTATATTTTATGGGCTACAGATTACATATGTGTACAATTCAGCTGAGAGTACAGTAATAAAACTAAACAATGTTTAAAAAACAAAACACTTTTTCTGCTATGATTACAGATTTATAATTAAAAAAAAAGCTTTTAAACTGCACAGCCACATAACTTCCTCTCTCTCTCTGTGTGTGTGTGTGTGTGTGTGTGTGTGTGTGTGTGTGTGACTCAGTGAAAGTCTGCAAATTGAGAAAAAAAAGAACTACAGTGGCTTTAACCCTTAATAAGGCCAGCATCTACTTTTAGACACCTCCACGTACATCATAAATGATGTTGGTGCGCCTTTCACAGACTCTTAGAATATGGCTCGTTATCGTGTTGTCAACACCGACGCGCTATAAGTTCTAACTTGTTGCTTGTTGCTACTGACAACAGCTCACTCAGTCTCATTCTTGTGGCTTAAAATAATCTATTATTCATTTGATCGGTTATATTACGCAACCACGGGACATCGTTGCTGTGTTGTGGGTGCAACACGTGATCGCCAGAGAAAACAATGGAAAACTTTTCACCGTGTTCACTTGTTTCCCAGCCACATCACACACACCTCATAACATCCTGTACGTGTGTGTGTGTGTGTGTGTGTGTGTGTGTGTGTGTGTGTGTGTGTGTGTGTGTGTGTGTGTAGCTCAGTGAAAGGCGGTAAGTTCAGAAACAAAAGAACTACTTTGGTTTTAAAGGGCAAATAAACCCTTAACTTTGGCATGTCAAAGTAATCAGGAAGGATTAAAGAGCTGCTACAGCCTATGTGAAGTTAAAATTTAACAAGTGAAAAAACAGGGTTTTACATGTCAAATGTCATTCCCACAACCTAGTTCACCATGGTTGTCATCATCTAAACACAATATGTAAAACGTATTTGACAGATGTCTTTGAAGTCTCATAATAGGAAATGCAAGTTATCGACATAGCTCACAAGTTTGCTTCCATTATTAGAATAAACTAATAAAACTGCAAAAAATAACGACAAACTTACACAACTGACAATATTTATTGTACAGGGAATTCCTCTGCTGACATACTTGATGACGTAAGTTTACGCTGACGTAAAACAGTCTTCAAATGTATGAATTTAATTGCAAAGGCCCTCTTTGCAATCAAGTGTGTGTGTGTGTGTGTGTGTGTGTGTGTGTGTGTGTGTGTGTGTGTGTGTGTGTGTGCGTGCGTGCGTGCGTGCGTGCGTGTGTGTTTGTGTGTGTGTGTGTGTGTGTGTGTCAGGTGTTCTTCTCAGCCAATGGAGTGGACTCAATTACAGTTTAGCCTCAAAAACGTGAAAAAAAAAGGTGCCGACACATCTTCCCAGAGGAACTCCTCCAACCACCCAACAACAGTTTTGTGATAAAAGATGTTGTTTCCAGCATGTTTGCTTGTCACTTGTGTTACCTCTTTAATCCTGGTTTTATCTGAGAAGTTTCCAGTTTAAGATTCTGAAGGTATTGAAAATAAAATAGATATTTTTATGAATACATTTTCCCCTCAACAGCATCTACAACAAGTGCATTTATCAACTTTAGGAATGTTGACTTTCATATAAAAAACAGAAAATTCCTTGTGCTTTCTATAAAGATGAAATCCTATATTTTGTCTTTTAAATCAAGCAAATATAAAAGGTGTTGAGAACATTTCTGAGGCTGAGTTGTGTTAAATAATCTGTCATTACCTTCTTTGTCCACTAGGGAGCATGAATGTATTAGTCCTCTGACCACATTTCTGCTGCTGTTTCTAATTGAGTTTCAAAATGAAGTCTTGTTGATTTATCGTAAAAAAAATTATATAAAAAAATTTAAATAAAGTGAGTGGCTAAACTGAAGAGGATGTTTACATTGGAGGTTTAACATTTAATTGCTACATGAATCTATTTGTTTTTACCATCAGAATAAAAATAATGACATTTGGAGTGTCAGTTCTGATAACTTCTAAGCATTCATGTTTTATAAATACAGGAAAGACACAAATATCTAATTGTTTAAGAGATCCAGCAAGAACTGCTAGGCATCACTTTTACTTGTTCTGATAAAATAATCTAATTAGTAAATTAAAACTAAATCTAACTAAAACATAAAAGCTACTACTCCGTGGAACTGGTTTGTGGAGGTGTGTTTATTCCATGTAGAGGCTTCAGAAGGACCTTCCTGCGGAGACAAATTCAAGTTTATGTTAGTCCTTGGAAAAGTGAACCAGCTTCTCTTCTACCAGTAAGACAGTGTAGCTGTACTTGTGTGACTGATTAAACAGATGAGGCTAAAAATACAAGTTTATATGTTTCGTGCTTGTTGAAGGAGCTTAGAGGCACCAACATACGTATGCATCCAAAGTGCACTCTCCTCATTTTTGAAAAAGTCCTGAATTTACAATGTCAGAGAAAGTCCCAATTTTAATGTAATAAATTTAAGCATTTATTCATGGAAAAACATCACAGATAATTAATATTTGAATTATTTTTAAAAGTACACCATTGGTATTGCTTTGGTTTAGATTATGATTATTGCTTTGTAATTTTGTTTAAAAGAATAATAAAAACATTTTCAAGGTTATGAGCAGTTTACATGTGCCACCTTTGACCAAATTGGTGCCCCTACCTGGCCACTGCTAAGAAACTGTCTAGACACACCACTGGGTAAAATCCGTGGGTTATTTTCAAATTTTTTTTGGGAGGGGGCAGTTTAAAAACACAGCAACGAGCCAGCTCCACCCTTCACTGATTATCTAGTGTTGTTGAAATGCTGCACAGGCTGCAGCTTGCTTTGGCTCACGATGATGCCCACAGCCATGGGCGTAATGTTTTGTGGGGACATTTCCTCCACTTCTTTTTAAGGAAGTCTGGATCCATTTATCATTTCCACTCATGTTTAATGAGGTAAAATGTTATGCTATTTTGACTTTAATGAATTCTAGCGACCAGATATTCTAAAAATTACTGTAAAACTTGGATCCTTGACCTCCTTTTGGTGAAAAATGTGCAACAAAGAGGGGCCAAGCAGAAAAAGGTTGGGAACCACTGGTGTTTAGTGGTTGGTGTTCCTAACCATAGAAGCATCTATCAGAAGATCAGAATTCCTAAAACTTTCTACAAGTATTCACAATATGAGTCTCAAACATTAGCAGGTAGCCAAAATACCCCCAAATACCACAGAAGCTTCTAGAAATTGTTAATTATTACATTTTTATAGAAGTTATGCTGCAGTCTGAACTCTGAGGTGATTTACAGGCTGTTTTGCATGTGCTGTGTACAATGCAAATTATTATCAGAACTCACCATTTCTCAAGATAAATTTATTTTCAGCTTTTACTTTATTCTAGAAAGGCTATTTAGCTTATTTTCTTGACATTTTGAATTTCTTCTCAAACTTTGAGCAAGAGTTTCATTTTGGTCTAATACAAAATCATAATCTAATATAAAAATGCAGAAAAGTAGATGCCTGAAAAATATTTTCCACCAGTTTAGTAAACTGTGTGAGTAGATTTATTCATCTGAAGGAACAAAAAGTTAATCTGTCTAGCTTTCTTAACTGAGGCAACTTGTTTTTAGTGGTTTATTATATTTTCAGACTAAACCCTTTCAGGACTCTGCAAAATTGGCATCTTATTGACTCCGATGCTTCTAGTAGAACATACTGAATATTCTGTAAAAAAAAAAGTCCTTACTTGTACCCCTCGGCCTCATCCATTGAATCTGGTAGCTCTCTCCTTTTGGTTTCAGGAAGCAGGAAGCTGAGCACTCCACTGATCAGTGGGAGGCAGCTGAAGACAATGACAGGTATGGACCAATGGTACACAACCAACATGTTGAGAAGAGGGGAAATTAATCCACCAGCTCGGCTTGTAATGGAGCTCAAACCAGAAGCTGTCTGCCTATAACAAGAAGGTGACAACCTCAGCATCAACTGGATATTCTGTTGACTCAATGACTAAAGTCAGTGGGCTGGTGAAGAAACTACAACTAGCGCAGAAGCCGTGTCAGACTGGGCGTACCGAAAAGATGTTGGAAACAGCTCCTGAACATAAACGCTGCATATGGATCCTGCCCAGTTAGTGAAAAATCTGCCTCCGATGGCCAATGAGGTGACAGCAACGGCGTTCCCTGGAGCAGAGCAGCAGAACATTGGGAAAAACAAGCAGATGGAAAATGGTTTAGCATTAACATTAAACTAAATGTTTAATTGATTTTTTTATTGAGGCTAACCTTGCTTCTAATGTACAAGTTTATTGATCTGACTGTTATAGCAGAAATCAGCAAAGTTTTTGTCCAGCCAGCTGTTGGCTTTTACAACTCATTGAAACATGCAATAATGAAAAAGACCGTTAATAATTTAGATAAAAGGTCAGTGTGAGCTAACAATATTCCCCATATTTTCAATGTCATCCGTTCACTCCTGTGTGGAGGATTTTTATCTAAGTTGGACACCAGGACAAAGCTGACATTTTACAAGTAGACCTGAAGGACCTTACCTTGAGGAACAGCTAGAATGGAGATGCAGGAGAATCCGCCCATCAGAAGGGTTGAGATCAGAGAGACTTTTCTCCCCACTGCCTCCAACAGCCAAATACACAGAAGATGAGCTGGTAGTTCAGACAGGCCAAACAGGGCCTGAGTCAGGAAAACATCCAGGCCAAAGTTCCCCACATTCAGTGAAAGACAGTAATAGGTAACGTTGAGTGAGAACCTGAAGGAGAGGGAGAGTCAGACACATTTGTTGACCGAGAACAGTTTTTGTGTCATAAAGAGTTACCTACCAAGCAAAAATTATGGTAAGGAAATACTTTCTGAGCACAGATGATCGAATAAGAAGTTTCACACCTCCCTTTTCTTCTGTTTCTTTTATAACAATCTGTAAAACGCAGAAACTGGTTATCTTATCGTGGAGCACAGTTTGCCTTTCTTGCAATGCAATCTTGCATTCCAATCATACTCTGACCAACGTCACTCTTTCTTCAGTACATTTGCAATGATCTGTAGTGGAACCCTCCCACTGTCCTAATGGGTGACCCCGCGAGGAAAGTTGACCATTGAACAGGATTGATGGTTTATCCCTTGAGGTCCACGTGGCAGGTGTGAGGAGTGAGCACCACCTCACCCCTGCCACGTGGATCTCAAGGGATAAACCGTCAATCCTGTTCAATCGCCAACTTTCCTCGTGGGGTCACCCATTAGGACAGTGGGAGGGTTAACCCTGAGTCCCATCTCTGTGGGGGGAAAAGCTCTGACACTCCTGTTTCAGGAACTAGAAGTGAGCCAGAGAAGAGGGGAGCAGAAAAGACCAGGTATTGGACTCTTATTTCCTGATATTCAGACATCTCAACTCTGATTGGCTAATGGCAATGGAACTCTACCAAAGATTTTGTTTGCTTTGCAATGTTTTATCTCCCCAATTAACACAAGCTTGAAGGAGTTCTGCTTTGTTTTGGAGTTGCTAATGCTAACGATGAGCTTCTCTCCACCTATGCACCCTCTCTTGCGCTTCCCCCCGGCTCTCTACCTCTCCCTCCTCCAGCCAACATCTACACGCCCCACAGTAAGTTCTGCTGAACACCTCTGCCTACAATGGACTTCTGAATCAGAACCTATGCTCACCTGTGTTCTCCCTCCTCCAGACGCTGAGCTGTCATAGCAGTTCCAACCACAGACTTATCTGTGCATCCTAAGTTTCTCCTTTATAAATAAATCATTTTACCATCCGTTTTTGGTCTGTGTTGCATTCTGCATGCCTTGGGTTAGGTACCTTCCTCCAAACATGACAATATCAGGTTTTATGGGCTGCAACATGATAAATAAAGCAAGTGACTGGAGTTCTGTCGTTTCAAACAGCACGTCAGCCCACTGAGTGATTGGTATACCAGATAGCCAGTTGGAAAAAATACAATATATTAAAAGGGTGGGAAGCATTTACTACCAAACAAAGCAATTTACTAGCTTTTGAGGGCCTTAATTTGAGCCTATTTCATTTATAACCATTTACTACTGCGTGGAAACCCTGTAGTGCTCCACTCTTAGATGCTAAATCAACAATGGCCTTCCCCGTCGTGAGTCCACGAATTCGAATTTTCAATAAGACGTAAATAATTTGAGCATTTCCTTGTCTATTTTCTATCAGCAGCTCTTGATGAACATAACATCTATGATAGTTTCCAGTCAGGTTTTCGTAGAGCTCATTCTACTGAAACAGCTCTTCTTAGGGTCTCTAATGACCTTTTGACTCACAGGGATGCAGGGGACTGTTCTGTTCTGGTCCTGCTGGACCTGACTGCAGCCTTTGACACTGTTGACCATCACCTACTACTGGAGAGGCTGAGAGACTGGGTAGGCCTATCAGGATCTTCTCTGGAGTGGTTCTCTTATCTGTCTGAGCGTTCTTTCTCTGTGGCTGTCTCCAAGTTTAGGCCCTCCACCACCTTCCTCACCCATGGTGTCCCACAAGGTTCTTTGCTGGGGCCTCTGATCTTCGTCCTCTATCTACTTTCTCTTCAGCATATCCTGAGCTCCTTTAAAGGAGTCTCCTACCATTGTTACGCAGATGACATCCAACTGTACATCTCCTTTAAGCCCCATGAGATGTCTAAGCTACAGCTGTTACATTCCTGCTTAGACTCTATCAAAACATGGATGGCTGCAAGCTTTCTACAGCTGAATGAAGATAAGACAGAGATTCTCATCTATTTCCCAGACAAGCTGGTTCCCAAAGTCAGAGACTCTCTTGGTCAGTTTGCTTGTCACACCAAACCCTCTGTCAGGAATATTGGTGCGACTGTCTACAGGTGGTTCAGAACGCCTGTGCTTGGCTTCTGACCAAGTCCTCCAAACACCCACATCCCCCCACTTCTCCTCCAGCTTCACTGGCTGCCAGTTAACTTCAGGGTTCATTTTAAGATCCTGGTTCTGGTGTTTTGGGCCTTACATGGACAAGTACCATGGTGATCTTCTCAGTCCTTACACCCCCAGCAGGTCCCTTAGATCCAAAGACCAAAGCCTACTGGTTGTGCAGCACCAGGCTAAAGACCAAAGGTGACAGATCATTTGCTGCTGTGGCCCCCAGACTCTGGAACTCTCTCCCCCTGAGTCTGAGATCAGTGGACTCAGTGGTCTCCTTTAAAAAGCAGCTGAAAACTCACCTGTTTAAGCTGGCTTTGGTGTGACCTTCATTACCCTCTCCTTATTCTGCTCCTATTCCGCTGTTTCCGGGATCCACTGATTTTCATCTTTCCTATCCATTTTCTCTCTCCCTTTCCTTAATTTTTTTTATCACAATTAAAAAAATGTCTAATTTTAAACATATTTTAATGATGTTTTAGACATTTTTATTATACTTGATATATATAAATTTTTTTTGGGGTGAAGCGCCTCGTGATTTTTATCATGAGGCGCTCTATAAAAGATTCTTTCTTTCTTTCGTTCGCAGGAAATACGGATAGAAGACAATTTGTCACTTTTAGCCTACATGAGAAACTCAGACTGACTGCTCATATTTAAAGAAGTAAAAACACTATTTCTCACTGAATTTTGGTCTTCATTTAAAAATCCAGAAATTGAAAAGAAGTACCTTTTGTAGCAGAGGCCTTGGAACAGCTTGTTTGTTGAAATTTGCCACTTTAGTGATCAACTGTTTAGCCTCTTCGGTTCTTCCTCTGCTTAACAACCACCTGGCTGACTCTGGAATAAACCTGTCAGAGACAGCTTCTCTCATTAATCTGTTATGAACTTCCATCCATCCGTTCATCCATTTTCAGCCGCTTATCCAGAGTAGGGTTGCAGGGGCAATAGCCTAAGCTCAGAGGCCCAGACTTCCCTCTCCCCAGCTACTTGGACCAGCTCCTCAGAGGGAATCCCAAGGCTTTTCCTGGCCAGCCGAGAGACATGGTCCCTCCAGTGTGCCCTGGGTCTTCCCTTGGGTCTCCTCTCAATTGGATGTGCCAGGAAAATCTCACCAGGGAGGCATCCAGGAAGCATCTAGACCTGATGCTCGAGCCACCTCAACTGGCTTGTCTCGACGTGGAGGAGCAGCAGGTCTACTCTGTGCCCCTCCTTGATGACCAATCTTCTCACCCTGTCTCTAAGGGAGAGCCCAGGAATCCTGCGGAAAAAATTCTTTTTGGCTACTTGTATCTGTGACCTCGTTCTTTTGGTCACTTCCCAAAGCTCATGACCATAGGTGAGGGTAGGGAAATTGATTACCCGGTAAATCTAGAGCCTTGCCTTCCGTCTCAGCTCTCCCTTCACAACGACAGACTGGTACAATGCCCGCATCACTGCAGATGCAGCATCAATCCACCGATTGACCTCAGGCTTAATTTTTCCCTCACTTGTGAACAAGACCCCGAGATACTTAAACTCCTCCACTTGGGGCAATACCTTGTTCCTGACCGGGAGAAGACATTCTACCCTTTTCCGATTCAAGACCACGGTCTCGGATTTAGAGGAGCTTATTCTCATTCCAGCTGCTTCACATTCGGCTGCGAACCGCTCCTGAAAAAGCTGGAGATTACTGTCTAATGAAGCCAACAGGATCACATCATCTGCAAAAAGCAAAGACCTGATCATTAGGACACCAAAACTGATCCCCTCAACACCTTGGCTGCTCATAGAAGTCCTGTCCATAAAAGTTATGAACAGAATCGGTGATAAAGGTCAGCTTTGACGGAGTCTGACCCTCACCAAAAACAAGCTTGACTTGCTGTCAGCAATGCGGACCAAGTTCTGACACCGGTCATACAGGGACCTAACAGCTTGTATCAGAAGGCCTGGTACACCATACTTCCAGAGTACCCCCCATATGGTCCCCGAGGGACGCGACTGAACATCTTCAATAATTCCACAAAACACATGTAGATTGGTTGGGCAAACTTCCACGCACCCTCCAGGATCCCCCAAAGGCTATAGAGCTGGTCCAGTGTTCCAAGGCAGGGTGAAAACCACATTGCTCCTCCTAAATCCAAGGTTCAACAATCTGACAGGCCCTCCTCAACAGAACCTTGAATAGACCTTACCAGGAAGGCTCAGGAGTTTGATCCCCCTGTAGTTGGAACACATTCTGCAATCCCCTTTGTAAATAGGGGACCACCACCCCAGTCTGCCATTCCAGTGAAACTGCCCCCTATGTCCACGCGATATTGCAGAGCCGTGTCAGCCAACACAGCTCTATGACATCTAGAGCCTTAAGGAACTGCAGGTGGATCTCATCCACCCCCGGAGCCTTTCCACTGAGGGCTTTTGGACAACCTCAGTGACCTCAGCCCCAGAAATTGGAGAGTCCAATCCAAAGTCCCCTCACTCTGCTTCCTCACTGGAAGACGTGCCAGTTGGATTGAGGAGGTCTTCAAAATATTCTGCCCACTGATCCACAACGTCCCGAGTAGAGGTCAGCAGCACACCATCACCACTATAAACAGTGTTGGTAGTGCCCTGTTTCCCCTTCTGAGGCGCCGGATGGCGGACTAGAATCTCCTCAAAGCCATATGGAAGTCTTTCTCCTTGGTCTCACCAAACTCCTCCCCTATAGGAAGGGGGCCCCATGTTTCTTCTTTGGGCTGTGCCCAGCCAGGCTCCATGGTATGAGTGAAAGCCCGGCCAACAGGCCTTCGCCAACGTGCCCCACTTCCGGGCCTGGCTCCAGAGGGGGGCCCCGGTGACCTGTGCCCAGGCAAGGGAACACTGTTTCCATGTATGTTTGTCCTCATAAGGAGTCTTTGGGCTGCTCTTTGTCAGATCCCTCACCTAGGTCCTGTTTGTCATGGGTGACCCTACCAGAGGCATAAAACCTCAGACAACTTATGGTGCTTACACATTAGCGTTGGCACGGTCGGGGTTTGGTCGGGCTGGATGGCGTGAGTTTGGTCTGTAATGGGCGGTGTAGTGTTCACATATAAATCTGAGGGACTTCTCAGGAATGCGGAAATCCCCGAGCCTGTGGGCGGCATTTAATACTAGCAGGAAAGTCCGCTCCATAAGGTAAACGAAGGCGGACATAAGCTGTGTTGAGTTTGGAGATTCTGAACCACATTATTTTATTAATTTGCTGCGTGTGTCCTCACAATCTTGTGCCACACACACACATACACACACTGATTTCTCCCCTGAACAGCGGTCTGCTCGCTAGGGCAAGAGTTCTGATACAGAGAAAAGGTGCACGCACGCAGGCACGCACTCACACACACACATATAGCATCATGAATGTCCTGTTTTTACCTAAAGGTCATGATCTGCTGCATCTGCTCGAGCAGAGACATAAAGTCTCTGACAGGCTTATCTACATGAGATAGTGGCCAAGGTCTTTCATGCACTCTGCTCATCTGAACTGCTTCACCTTTGTTTCAGCTCAATACGAAGACGAAGAACACTCTTTTGATAAACACATAATCAACAACTTTGTTATTACCAATAATAATGTGAGCCCAATGTTCAATCAATCTGTGAAATGACAATGTTATTACTTGATATTATAATCCTGTGATCAACAGTATTTTACAAGTTATTATAATCTTGGACATTTGCACTAGACACTAATGACACGTAATGCTAAAGCCACACGACACATTTCCTTTTGTCTGATCAGAACAAAATCAATCAGAACCTTCGTTTCTGGTGCGAGGCGTGGTTTGCTGTGGTGTTTGTATAAACCCTCTTTTGCATGTCAAATTGTGATTCGCCAGTAAACCAAAATATGACAATTATTAAAACTATTCCACGCTAGGGCTGGGCGATATGGCAAAAATAGAATATCACGATTTTTCCAACATTTTATCACGATTTCGATTTTATCACGATTTTTTATCCATGAATAGCATAACTTCAATTGCGTATTAAAGAAGAGAAACATTGAATAAATAAACATTTATTCATATTAGGGATAATCAACACAGTGCTAACACACTTATATTTTAAACTCACACCAGAGATGATAAAAGCCCTGAGAGAAACAATTACAAAAATCAGTTTTTCTCGTTATTCAAGTAACTTAACATAAATTAAAATCGTAAACATATTTAAAGTGCAAACATGTCAATTGCAAACGTATTGTGCAAACATTAACTTGTTCAAAATACTATGTAGCTCCCAGTTGCTCATGTAGTGGATAGTTAAGCTCAAATACGGCTCTGATGTGCGGCTGGACCAGAGATCGCTTGTGGTAGCAAAAAACTGCGCATTCTGAATATTTTCTGCAATAAGCCTCTAAATAAAGTAAAATTTTCCAGTGCAGATCGGAGACAACCCATAGAAGCACTGATTTGATCTCATTTTAGAGAAAAATAGAACAGGTTAGATGCACCTAATAAATAAAATTACTAACAAACTCAGGATTCTTTCTTTGCTTCACTGTTCTGGTGCTGAAAACATCACTAATGTGGATCAAAGGAGATACACAGATGAATGCACCTCTTATTATTTGGAGACTACATTTATTGCAGCTGGCAGAGGCAGAGATTGTCTCTATTGATACACGGCATTTACAGAATCATTTTAAATGTTAATAGGGGAAGACTGCAGGAGGGAGCAGTAAAATACAGGGGTCCCCCAGCAAAAACAAGAAACTACGAGTCTGATGAAACCCGCTGGTTTTCCATTAGGCAGTCACGGGGTAGCTTCAACGACCCAGTGACCGAGCTCAGTCCGGTACCTACACCGGCTCGGCAGAGGGTGGACGAGCCGAGGCGACGTCGTGCTCTGCTTCAGAAGAAGCGTCCAACGTGTTTTTACGCTTTCTCCGAGACATGTCACGTCACTAAGTTGTTAGCGCCGCGCGCTAAGGAAACCCTGCGTTCCTCTTCGGAACGAAAACCTCGTTGTCGCTCAGCCGCGGCGAAGCCATGTTTGTTCACACACAAGTGAAAACAAGCGGGGCACTAATATATTACTATGACTCACTCTGATTGGTTAAGGGTCAAACAAAGGTGTGTCATTCGCCTGAGGTAAGTTCCTTTTTCATTCAGAGGCAGAAATTCAACAGCAGAGCTGTGAATTGTGATAAAACGGTCTCTCAAAAATGACAGACCGTCAGATGTGTGGATCGTAAAACGGTCTAAAATCGTCATATCGCCCAGCCCTATTCCACGCCTCCTTTTCTTTAGTTCAAGCGATCTAGAGAAGTCTCGGACGGGCCATCCGAACTTCCTCTTTAGCCAAAAGAACCTCGACAAGCTGGATAAAATCTGTTGCAAGTTACACCTAACCACAACGGTTCCTTCAGAATAAAAGCTGAACCTCAAGACCCCTTCAGGGTCTCGGAGACACCAGTGATAACCTGTCGTGACCTGGAAGCATTCCAAGACCAGTTTGGTCAGCACCGCTGCTTTTCTACCGGCTTCGGTACCAAGGAGGGTCCAAGAGGACCTTGGCATTCTGGATCTAACGGAGGCTTACCCTGGGTACGTAGACCAACAGATGGCGTCTCATGTGTGTTATAAATCTCCTACTAAAGTTTAGAGCGAAACATTCACTCCCACTCAGAACTAAATGCGTCTCCGGATCCGCTGGTTCTGAATAACATTCCACACACATACATCGTTCATCTCACTCCACCTTAGTTGCATCAGTACACAGAGTGTTGAAGTTAGCCTTGTTTAAATTGTGTAGAAATAAATTTCTTAACTGTTATAAAACTGACTCTCTCTCTCTCTTTCCTTGGGGTTAATAAGAAGTGTCACTTAATCCCTGCAATAAAAAGTTCCGATCTTCTGGTTAAAATATTCAAAGATCCATCAGATTGATATTTCATATTTCTATGGAATCTCACATTTTATGGTTCATAAGTAAGATGTAAACTACCCATCCTTTATACACACACACACACACACACACACACACACACACACACACACACACACACACACACACACACACACACACACACACACACACACACACAAAGCTATTCTTTTCTCCCATTCCCACACTTAACGGCAGCTCCGGATCGGCTGCCAGACAGATCGTGCTACAGACAGAAGTTTACTCAACAGCATCCAGCATGAAAATGAATCGCGCATGCGGGAAACCCCCCGCTGACTCATTGTTCTCGCAGATTGGAGGCGGTAGGCGTAATTTCAGCTGGCCAACCACTCCGTAGTGTTGCCTCGGTCCCAGTCTGACCGCTGGGGAGAAGGTCTAAGAAAAGCAGTCACCTCGGCACAGAAAACGCAAATCTGACCTGTGTGTGAAACCTAATTCCGGTGCCGTTTGATACCTTTTGGGGCCGTGCCGACGCTAATGTGTAAGCGCCATTAGCTCCTACGATCATTGGGACACTAAAACCCCTCCAAAATGGTAAGGTGGCAGCCCAGGGGAGGGATGTTACAAATATGTTGACTAAAACAGAACTGGGTGATGAAGGCGTTCATACAAACCATATGTATATAGTAATCACTGCTAGAGGAGCAGCAGTGATCAGCTGAGCCTGTCTCCAGTCTCTGATGAAGTAGATCACACCAGCGAGAACGGACTGTCCAACAGCAGCGAATAGCTGAGTCAGACATGCTCCCAGTGATCTTTTAGTCGGCCCGATCCATTCAGTAGCTGAAAACAAAACGTTATTATAATTTACAAAGAGGAAAATATCAAATTCCCATAGAAATCCTTTGAAATGTTGGAACTACAAAGATCATTTCAACCTCCAATAGAAAGTTTATCTATAACAAACATTTTTATTGTTTTTTGTCAAAATGTTTCTGTGTGGAAACTACTGTTATCTGTTTTAAATTTATATTTGAATCAATATTTTTCTGGGGAATAACAATGAATTAGCAAGTGTTGGTCCAAAAGAATGATAACCAATTTATTTGACTCATTTATTTATAGACATCATGTTTAGGAAGACAGACGAAAAGACAAACTATGAAGTGACTATACCTAATATGACACCGTTAAGTCGATATCCCCCGTAGCCGATGCCCACCATGAACTGGGACACCAGATATAAGTAGAAGATGGGACTTAATCCAGTAGCTACAGTAGAAACAACCATCACAACCACTGGGATCTGAGCGGCGCGCTTACGACCAAACCTGAAACAGACACCTCCAGTCACTTCAACCATTACAACTAATGGTTTTCAGAAAAAAAGAGAAGAGGAAAAGAAAATTAAAGCTGCAAGCAGCGTCGTTCGGCCCTCGCAGCTCCGCGCCGCTCCGGCCTGGCTGGCAGCCCGGGGCACCAGGGCATGTCTTGCAGAACAGAAACGTCAACCACCCCGACACCAGAAACCGCAAATGGCCTCCTAGTCCGCACCTCACCCTGACTTAGCATCCCCTCTGAGCTCACCATTAAATTGAATTGTAAGGTTTCGGCGTTACGCCAGAACTCGCCATGGCATCAAAGCCCCCCCCTTTCTGGAAAGCTATCAGATCTGAATGGTCATTACAGCATCATGAAGACAGTGCATGACCTTAGGGTCATGTTGACTAAATTAGAGGGGACAAGTATGGGCATTTCAGCATAAAAAATAAATTCCTGTAGTCAGGGGGCGGGGCTTAGGTGATGTCAGCTGTCCACATTGTCATTGTTTACAGATATGGTCAATGATCACACAGACAAAGTTCGAAAAAGATCTGATCATGCACATGGGAGTTATTAAGTCAAGTAAAGTAATGGCGAAAGGTCAACGTTTGAGGCTTAGCCACGCCCACACCTTTCAACTTTTGAAAAATCCGACGGTTGAATTTTTTCCCCTACGTCTTAAGAGTGTATTGCAGAAGTTTGAAGGTGATTGGTGAAAAGGGCGACGGAGCATCACTCTCCAAACAATGTGTGCGAAAACCACTAAATCACGTACTTGCACCAAAATGGCCGACTTCCTGTGCGACTTTACGCTTGGCTCCAAGAGACTTTTTTGTAGGTCCTGAGACCCCACATTAGTGTACCAAATTTCGTAATCCTCAGTCAAAGCATGGCTTGGGGCTGACAGTTTTAATGGCTCTAGGGGGCGCTATTTAAGAATATAGGCCATGCCCACAAACTTCAGCTGTCTATTTCTCTTGGAGCTCAGACTAGGATCACTCACCAGAAGTTTCGTAGCAATATCACGATAACTGAAGAAATGAGAGACAAACGTATTTCCATGGCGTGATGGCGATTTTCGCCATGGTCCCAAAGCCCCGCCTTTTTTCAAAACCTGCCAGTACTGGAGACCAAGTAACCTCAACTTGTCTACTGCTGTTTGCCACAGAATCCTGGTGATTGGGTAAAAGGAGTCCAGTAGGGAGCTGTGAAAAAAAGAGTAGCGTGGCGACAGGTCAAAGTTTGAGGCTTAGCCACGCCCACACCTTTCAACTTTTGAAAAATCCGACGGTTGAATTTTTTCCCCTATGTCTTAAGGGTATATAGCAGAAGTTTGAAGGAGATTGGTGAAAAGGGCGACGGAGCATCACTCTCCAAACAACGTGTGCGAAAACCACTAAATCGCGTACTTGATCCAAAATGGCCGACTTCCTGTGCGACTTTGAACTTGACTCCAAGAGACTTTTTTGTAGGTCCTGAGACACCACATTAGTGTACCAAATTTCGTAATCCTCAGTCAAAGCATGGCTTGGGGCTAATAGTTTAAATGGTCCTAGGGGGCGCTATTTCAAAACATAGGCCACGCCCACAAAATTCAGCTGTCTATTTCTCTTGGAGCTCAGACTAGGATCACTCACCAGAAGTTTCGTAGCAATATCACGATAACTGAAGAAATGAGAGACAAACGTATTTCCATGGCGTGATGGCGATTTTCGCCATGGTCCCAAAGCCCCGCCTTTTTTCAAAACCTGCCAGTACTGGAGACCAAGTAACCTCAACTTGTCTACTGCTGTTTGCCACAGAATCCTGGTGATTGGGTAAAAGAAGTACAGTAGGGAGCTGTGAAAAAAAGAGTAGCGTGGCGACAGGTCAAAGTTTGAGGCTTAGCCACGCCCACACCTTTCAACTTTTGAAAAATCCGACGGTTGAATTTTTTCCCCTATGTCTTAAGGGTATATAGCAGAAGTTTGAAGGAGATTGGTGAAAAGGGCGACGGAGCATCACTCTCCAAACAACGTGTGCGAAAACCACTAAATCCCGTACTTGATCCAAAATGGCCGACTTCCTGTGCGACTTTGAACTTGACTCCAAGAGACTTTTTTGTAGGTCCTGAGACACCACATTAGTGTACCAAATTTCGTAATCCTCAGTCAAAGCATGGCTTGGGGCTAATAGTTTAAATGGTCCTAGGGGGCGCTATTTCAAAACATAGGCCACGCCCACAAAATTCAGATGTCTATGTCTCTTGAGAGTCAGACTAGGATCACTCCCCATAAGTTTCGTAGCAATATCACGATAACTGAAGAAATGAGAGGCAAACGTATTTCCATGGCGTGATGGCGATTTTCGCCATGCTCCCAAAGCCCCGCCTTTTTCTGAAACCTGCCAGTGCTGGATACCAAGTGACCTCAAGTTGTCTACTGCTATTTGCCAGAGATTCTTGCTGATTGGGTAAAAGGAGTCCAGTAGGGAGCTGTGAAAAAAAGAGTGGCGTGGCGACAGGTCAAAGTTTGAGGCTTAGCCACGCCCACACCTTTCAACTTTTGAAAAATCTGACGGTTGAATTTTTTCCCCTATGACTTAAGAGTATATGGCAGAAGTTTGAAGGCGATTGGTGAAAAGGGCGACGGAGCATCACTCTCCAAACAACGTGTGCGAAAACCACTAAATCGCGTACTTGGACCAAAATGGCCGACATCCTGTGCGACTTTGCACTTGGCTCCAAGAGACTTTTTTGTAGGGCCTGAGACACCACATTAGTGTACCAAATTTCGTAATCCTCAGTCAAAGCATGGCTTGGGGCTGACAGTTTTAATGGTCCTAGGGGGCGCTATTTCAGAAAATAGGCCACGCCCACCGGATGTTCACATCAGATCTTTTGGGGGGCTGGACTAGGATCACTCACAAGAAGTTTCATGACGATATCTTTAGAAATGACGAAATGGGAGGCAAACGTAAGGCCACAGCGGTACGCCTGACTTCGCCGCGCCGCCACAGCCCCGCCCTCTGCCGAAAACTCCCATAAAGTGACGCCAAGCAACCTCCACTTGTCTTGAGTTACCAGCTACAAATATTTGGTGATTAAGTGAAATGGGGCAATTTGGGACCTTTCACAGTAAAACTTGACCTTTTTGGTCCTGAGGGGGCGGGGCTTGTGTGATGTCATCATCCGACCATTTATTTTACTTTGTGGGTGGATGACGAATGACCACAGAAAGTTTGGTAACTCTATTCCATTCAGTTATGAAGTTATAGCAATTTAAAAAAAATTGGCGAGTAGTCAAACTTTGAGGCCTGGCCCCGCCCCTTCAACATATACGAAAACTCAGAATCCTTGTCTCATTTTTTTCGCCCATCTCTTCTGAGCAATTTTACACCACTTTTGAGACGATTGTGCGAAAAGTGATCGAGCAATCCAGTCAGAAACGGACCCTAAAAACGGCCAAAACTGCAAAAAATCGCCATTTCAACCCAAAATGGCCGACTTCCTGTTTGATATTGACCATGCTTGCAAGAGACTTTTCTGTGCGGACTGTTGAGTACTACAAGTGTACCAAATTTCATAACTGTACGATAAACTAAGCTTTATGGGGAGGGTTTTTTTTCACTTTCTAGGGGGCGCTGTTCAGTCATTTCCTGTGCGATTTTTTTGGGACCTTTAAAATATCAAATTTTTCACCAGGCCTGACATGTTTGCAAAATATTGTGAGTTTTGGGGAATGATAAGGTCCCCAAAAGGCCATTCAAAGCGGGCTAAGAATAATAAATAATTAAAGCTGCAAGCAGCGTCGTTCGGCCCTCGCAGCTCCGCGCCGCTCCGGTCTGGACGGCAGCCCGGGGCACCAGTGCACGTCTGACAGAACAGAAACGTCAACCACCCCGACACCAGAAACCGCGAATGGCCTCCTAGTCCGCACCTCACCCTGACTCAGCATCCCCTCTGAGCTCACCATTAAATTGAATATTAAGATTACGGCGTTACGCCAGAATTCGCCATGGCATCAAAGCCCCTCCCTTTCTGGAAAGCTATCAGATCTGAATGGTCAATACAGCATCATGAAGACAGTGCATGACCTTTGTTTCATGTTGACTAAATTAGAGGGGACAAATATGGGCAGTTCACCATAAAACAATAGGCTTCCTGTAGTCAGGGGGCGGGGCTTAGGTGATGTCAGCTGTCCACATTGTCATTGTTTACAGATATGGTCAATGATCACACAGACAAAGTTCGAAAAAAATCTGATCATGCACATGGGAGTTATTAAGTCAAGTAAAGTAATGGCGAAAGGTCAAAGTTTGAGGCTTAGCCACGCCCACATCTTTCAACTTTTGAAAAATCCGACGGTTGAATTTTTTCCCCTATGTCTTAAGAGTATATAGCAGAAGTTTGAAGGCGATTGGTGAAAAGGGCGACGGAGCATCACTCTCCAAACAACGTGTGCGAAAACCACTAAATCGCGTACTTGGACCAAAATGGCCGACTTCCTGTGCAATGTTGTGCTTGGCTCCAAGAGACTTTTTTGTAGGTCCTGAGACACCACATTAGTGTACCAAATTTCGTAATCCTCAGTCAAAGCATGGCTTGGGGCTGATAGTTTAAATGGTCCTAGAGGCGCTATTTAAGACAATAGGCCACGCCCACAAACTTCAGCTATGGATATCTCTTGGGGCTCAGGCTAGGATCACTTACAAGAAGTTTCGTAGCGCTATCACAATAACTGAAGAAATGAGAGGCAAACGTATTTCCATGGCGTGATGGCGATTTTCGCCATGCTGCCAAAGCCCCGCCTTTACTCGAAACCTGCCAGTACTGGATACCAAGTGACCTCAAGTTGTCTACTGCTATTTGCCAGAGATTATGGGTGATTGGGTAAAAGGAGTCCAATAGGAAGCTGTGGAAAAAAAGAGAGGCGTGGCGAAAGGTCAAAGTTTGAGGCTTAGCCACGCCCACACCTTTCAACTTTTGAAAAATCCGACAGTTGAATTTTTTCCCCTACGTCTTAAGAGT